CCCCCCCCCCAAAAAAAAAAGCAGGGCAACAGAAAGTGGGTGGATAATGCATGCACTTACGGTTTAGAAGATGAGCTCGTCTGCACTGTTGCCAGAATGAAACCTGCGACTGAAATTTGATTTAAGGTGCCTGTCCAAGAGGGAAACGCGCGGTAATTTTCTTACTTATTTAGAGCCATGGTATAGCACTGCTCATCCTCTCGGAAGTATCGTCTCCGCTATTAGACCATGGCACATCCACTAAGGCCTATATAAGAGGCACTTACTCTTGTTAAGTTCATAGCAAGAGCCTAGATTCTGAATAAACAGCCATTGCTAGACGTATCACGGTTAGGGAAATATTAAACGCGTCCTGACGTCGCGTAGACAGGAACAAGGATTTCCAGCATTGTGTCCAGGTCCTGAGGCAAGCTCGCAGCGCTTCCCTTACCACGCCGTAGTGAGAATCGCTGCCAATACAACCGAGCATTCTTAACCCTGAAAGCTGCAAGCCCTCTCGGCTTAGGTGATGTGTTTCGATACACGGGGTACTGATGGCGAATCGAAAGATATTTGGTTCGGATGCAGCTAAACGAGCACCAGGCTGGAGATCAGATTCGGCATTAACAGGTCTCGTCTAAGCAAAACGATGATGACGCTCTCCACATGCATAGTAAGCAATACGGAACTTGGGATAAGGGGTGGTTTGAATTGTCGAAGGAGTCTTGCAGACGCACGGAACAATGTGGAACCCCAAATTATTAATAGGATCCAAACTAGGGCCCTGCCAGAGAAGGTACAAGAATGCGCGAAGGACCGAGAAGCGAAAGTTAACAATACGGTATATGATAGTACGTGTTCATAAAGTCTATCTAGCTAGGAGGATGGTAAAGTTTAATTGAACACTGAGGCAATGGAGTGATGAATTAAGGCGAAATCGGAGTCTTCAGAGTAGGGTGCATACACATTCTGCTTAATTGATGTTGACGGAACTACCTAACACAAGCAAGACCAGCAAATGGAGCTGCCTGAGTTTGAACTTGAAGCTCAACAGATGCCATTTAGTCTGGTTACCAGGTCGTATTTAGAGGTATCATATGCACAGCACCTAGAAACAGCGTTGCGATGCGCGATCAGTCACTTTTAAAGTTACCGTTCAGTTCTGGCTTCTACTTAGTCGAAGACTCGGAAATCACGCCTGGGGATTGTTCCTCCGGGGAGCTTATCGCTATATTGAAGGCTTGACCTGAGTTCTTGCCCCAGTTGCAAAAGTCCAGGGTAGGGGTGCTAGATCTTCGGGAGGGTTTCAAGATGAAGCACGTATTTCATTTCCAGCAACATGGATTAGGGACAAAATATGCCCAAAAAGGTGATTCTCGAAGATGGATATCTTGGGTGTTATGCTAAAATATTTGCAACGACATTCGTACACCTTGTGGCATGCTATGGTTTATCGAAGCAGCCCCAATCTTGAAAGAACAAAGTAGACACTCCTAAATGTACCGCGTCATTTTTGGCTTTCCGAAAATCCCAGCACCGTGAATTGGCTCGGGACCCCTTTATGTCCCAGTATTACAAACCACAGAGAATCCCTTGATCAGCCCACGGCGATCGTCTAAATGGCAACCTTGAGCATGCAGATTAGGTTCCATACATACAGCACCCGTTGGGAATTTCCCTATCCAGGCGAACTCATAGGGGTAGGCGAGAGCTTGAAACGCGTGCCTGTGCGTCTGACACTGCAGCTTGCATCATGCGAGTCAATCGACTTAGTACCGACCACCACCTCCTATTTTTACCACTCAGGGGAGTTGCTGTTGTTCTAGTGGCTAAAAGATGTCGACAGTGGGGGCATTATTTGCTTGGATATAAGACGTTGTGTGGCAGTGTCCGCATTCGGTGGCGTGCGCCAAGCGACATATACTTGCCGGAAGACTTACATGGAATCTATTGTAGTTTCGCATTTGTATATATAACAGCGGCTTTTCTCTCTAAAATTCTCCGCCGAGTTTTGCCTTAGCTTTGAAATTTATAATTTACCAATTGTTTTAATAGAACCCCTTCCACCAAATACATAATATCTCATCATCGCACGAACATGCCCGAAGTCAAGATCAAGTTAACACAGTCTAGCTATTCTACGCGAGACGCAGCACTCACGGGAACGCTCTACATCACATCGAAGAAAGCGTTTCATGTCGGCCAGGTGTCGGTGGAGCTCCGGTGCTTTTTGGAAGCACGAACGGATCTTTCCCCCGTCAAGCGGAAGCTCTTCCGAAACGTGGTAGAACCGTATCAGCCCGAGAGACGACTCATCAGTCGCGCTGAAAATATCATCATCGCCGGTAAGCCCAACATGAAGGTCTCCGAGTGTGTCGAGCTTGGCGCAGGCATCCATGAAATCCCATTTAGCATTGACTTCCCCCAAGATACGATGCCTCCAACGATGTTGGATCTTCCAGACCTCGCGGTCACCCATGACCTCAAGGCCACGCTATACCGTAAAAACCCACCAGAAAAAATATTGGGCAGAGCCCACAAGGCCAGCTTCACCGACAGTCACAGCTTTACATACAGACACCCTACGAGCAGCTACCTTCCGAGATGGAGCGGCGAAACAGACGGATACCCCTCCCCTCGATCCTCGTTGATGCGCACGACTCAATACGCTGTCAGACAGAAGCTTTTGTTTGGGCACGAATCGGGCGATATACCCCTCTACTTTGAGTTGCGTTATGTCACCAACTCACCCGTGTTGGCTCTCAATGGCCGGCCCAGCTTCAAGCTCTTTCTCATGTCCACTGTGCCCCCTGCCACTTTCGCTAACGGCCGCGGCCGTTTCAAGATGAGTAGTCTCTCTATTGATTTAAATTCCACCACCACCATTTTCCTGGGCGAGCAAAGGCTCCAGACGTACAACATTTGGCAGCATCCGGGCTTCTTGATCAACCTCGCCAAGATGCAGCCGTATGACAGCCAGATAGAATGCGACTCCTCGTTTGAAGATTTGTACGAGTTGGAGATCCCCGATACGATGTATGCCGACAGTTTTGCCAAAAGAGAGTTGAGATCGTTGCCCGTAACCTTCAAAACTTCCAATATAGAGAGATCCTACAAGCTTGCGATTTCTGGCTACATGTCTCTGAAGTCGGTGGAGTCTCCACGAATGCCAGACCCAAGAATGGATATCGTCAGCGACGTGGTTGTGGTGAGCACCGCCAACGGGAAGGGCCCTGAGAGCGTGTATAGCAGCGACAATTCTCCGTACCAGAACCGTCACTCCGATGCCGCCTCTTTGTTTTCTTATGCTTCGGCTGCCTCCACGATGGCGTCGAACCCGCAAGCCCAGTCAGCTCCATGGATGAGCCGCAAGAGAGGGCAGTCATCAGGGACCAACCCTGTTTCTGCCGCTAGCTACACCCGGATGAACTCGTTGCCTGTCTTTGAAGACACCGATTACTGAGTTTGAGGGTGTCTGGGTTAGAGAAGCACCCAAACGGACTGAGGTATTAAATATCCACTGGGACCTAAGAAGTATGGATTAAAGCTCCGGAAGTATCGACACGAATGTTAAGGTCTGTGAGGGGGATACGCCATAACTATGTAGATCGATTGATAGTGACAGCCAAAGCGCGCTATCATTGGAAAGCCATTTACACCTTCATTTGTTTTTACCGTATTCCATCTCGATAACAAATCCGACTGCGCCCTGTAATACTTTAAACTCAGGTTTAGCACGAAATTCCGCAATTCATGGCCCCAGCAGTCTGTTTCAGATCTTTTCGAGCGCTTTCGGCTCCATGTAAGGAAGCAGTAAAAGCATAATATCGGCAAGATACAAAGTGGCTCGTCTATGGCAGGCGGGATTTAAGGAGCTATCCAAATGCCCCGGATGGCAATGGTTATTTTCGGCTAGTTTGTGATGTATCTAGGGATAATAGACTATCCGCATACCAGACTACATACGAGCGTGAGAAAGGAGTATGGCAAAATCAGCCGGGAAGATACATCTTTAACACACAGGTTGTAACCCAGCTCAAACAAGTCGTGAAACAGGGACAAGAATGCAGGTACAGCCGTTTACGTTGACGAGAAAGTGATCAATAAGAATAGGAACAGTAGAGTCTCACGGTGGCAAGGGACGCCTGGAGTAGCTATGTTTATTGTCTCAGTTATTGCCTAGGCAGTAAACAATATAGACTATGCTTAATAGTACATATACAATAAAGGCGCAGCAAGATACCGGCGCAGGTACCGGTCTCGCTATGGCCATTTAGACAAGGTGAAAGATTGATTCCGTCGGTATACTTGGGTTCTCAGGCATTGCTTCTCGTTGTACATCAGGATTTTCTACATCCGGGTCTTTATCGTGACAAAACCCAAGAGAATTGAGTATGCGTAAGTCTGTCCTAATGTGGACCTAGCGCAAGGCCGCACCCTTCCAAGAAGTTGTACCGCCGGGACACACCCTAAGGACAATTACCCGAGAGCAAAGGCCAGCATATGCGAGCTCCCGCCATATTCACATCCGTGAGGAAGATAGACGACTCTAATACCGCAAATGGTCCATTCCACAAGACTCGCAGTTACAATAGAGCTGTTCGAAACTCACCCTGAGTTTACATAAGAGTATCAAACTAGACGGACCCAATGAAACACAGTGATATTAATCCGAAACCTTTCACGTACGTTATTATTTTTAGAAGCACGAATTCGGGTTGACGTGACTTCTAGAATTTCACTGACGAGTCCAAACCAGAGGTAAAAGGGAATTTTTAAACTTATACTCATGCAGAGATAGTATATAACTTATCCCGATGCAAAATTGCCGGCCCTAGGACAGTGCCTCTACACTGATCCAAAGTCTCTACAGAGCCCTTTGTTCTACAAATCATGTGCTACAAGCACAATAAACATAAACATTCAAATAGCGTTTAATAGCTTCCCTATGAATATCAGAATCAGGTATACCAAACAGACTAATGGGCATCCCCACCCGTTGATTTTGTTGGATCATTCTGGAGCTGAGGGATCGAACGTCTATTAGTCCCCGGTTCCGAGCAAAATGCCAAGCGGTTGCAAGTTTACAATGGAAGATATGGTTGTGAAATATCGATTTAGGCTTCATTAGCATACCAAGGGTGTTTACTGGTGTCAAAACGTAACTCAGTGCTAGGGAATACTCAGCAAATAGATAGGCTTAGAAGGCAGCGAATAAGCAAAGACAAGTGCATGCTGGGCATTGCACTGTAGATTGGCATGTCAATGAAAGGAAGTAAAGGGGAAATGAAGGATACATACACCGATTTTGAGCATATCTAGAGTAATCCAGTTAAGGGGCTACGACCGTAGCCGTGTGGAACTATAGGAGGTACATTCCTCCTAGAAGGTACTCAACGCGAAGGCAGAGACATCCAAACTTACCAACCTTAATAAAGGAACACATAATATTGGGGATACATGGCAGCTCCTGGTAAAACTAGACGCAAATGTACACTTCCAGCTAGGCGGTTGCAAGACAAGGGTCTGCACTGGGTACACGAAACACAAGGGTAACTACTTAGCCGGAGTAGGTAACCAGTATAGTTTCACCGGAAAACGTAAAGGCTTTTACCGGTACAAGCCAATTTTTCTCTACGAGTTCTTCCAACACCATTAAACTTTCAATGCTTTCAATCTTTCCAAACCCACAAGGTCCTTCATCAACAACTCCAACAGTCTTCCAAGTCGTCCGGAACATTGTCATATTCTAATCATTCGGTACTCTAGCCAACCCTGCGCCTTTCCCTCATGCACGTTACGCCCTTAAGGTTTCCTCAATCCCATCCAACATCGTATCAACGTCCCTGACGTCAACTTCCGCGCACATTGCAATCAACCGGCGGTACTGAGCCATCTTTGCAGGAGCGCCGGAGCCGTTCGCGGACAAGGCGACGACGCGGCGCAACACGCGGCGGCGCGCAAGTTGCAAGCACGCCAACTCCTTCGCGGCAACAGGAGGATCCGCATCACCATCGGCTATGGACCCGGCTGCAGTCTCTGTCTTGACATATGCGGTCAACTGGCGGCACTGTGCGCGTTCGAGCGCGCGGAGAAGATCCACGGAGCGCGTCTCGACGGCGTGGCGCGCAGCTGCAAGTTCGGCTGCGAGGGTCTCACGCGTGCGGTCACCAAAACGCGCGGTATTGCGCTGAGAGGCGGTAATCTCTGCGTTCATGGTCAGAAGGAGCTGGGCAGCGTCCGCGACGTCGCGCTCCGTCAGCTGGAGCTCCGCGTCGTACGCACGTGCTAAATCAGCCATGCCCTCAGCAAGCGCGGGGGCGACGCGCTGGGTTGCCTGGATCGCTGCCTCACCGTAGCGCGGTGTGGGGAGCATCGTGCGTGGCGGCACTGCCGCACCCTGCGCGTGGTACGCGGTAAGTGCGTTGACACACTTGCGGGCGCCAAAGCTGGCGGCAACATCCACCGCTGTCTGACCCAGCGCATCGCGCGCATCCACCACGCGCGAGAGCGCCTCGTCGGTGCCCTCGCTCATTTTTGCGAGACACACGTCCAAGTAATAGCGCGCAGCGGGCCAGCGCGCCTTTGCAGCAGTGGTCTCCGCAACCAAGTGGAGTACGGTGCGCCCGCGCGCGTCCACGTCCATGAGGGTGTCTGCGAGGAGGTTACACATGCGCGCAAACGCGCGCTTGGTGTACGCATTGGTGAAACAGACCGCACGCATGAGTGGCGTCTGGCCACCAGCGTTGGTTGCGTGCGCGTGCGCACCGCATGTGAGGAGCATCTCGCACACGCGGAGGTTGCCCATGGCGCAGGCCCAGTGGAGCGGCGTGTGGCCCTCGTCGTCGATGACCTGGCCCGGGTTGAATTCCGGCGGCGGCAGACGGAGCGCCTCGGGGAGCGGGGCGTCCAGCGCGCCGTCGTCCGGTGCCATGAAGTACTCGAGGAGTCGCGTGGTGTACTCGGTGTTTGCGTCGTACAACGAGTCCTTGAGCGCAAACGCACGCGGCGAGCGGAGCGCAGCCGCGAGATCGCTATCCGAGAGAAACTCAGACGGCAGCGATGACGTGAGGAGGTCGTCTGCGAGTGCTAGTGCGAGCGCGGGCTCCGCGTAGCTGGCAGGCGCGGGGCTGGGCGCAAGGCCGGGAAGCGCGAATGGCACGTCAGGGTTCGCGCTTGGGAACCGCCCAAACTCTGGAAGTGTCACCGTGGACACGAGTTGTTCGCGTCGCGGACGGCCACGCTTGCGCCCCCCTGCGGGGGTAGAGGCGACACGTTTTGCCAAGACGGCGGCGGCGGCGGCGGCTTTGGGCGGGTCCGTGGCGCTGGCTGCGCGCACCGCGTGCGAGTGCTTCGGGGCAGGTGGTGGCGCGGCGCCCTCCGTGGGCTGGAAGTCGAAGATAGGTGCGAGAATGTCTGCAACCGCGTATGCGTGCGCGATCTCGCGGCCGCGCGCGAGGGGTACCCATGTGCCCTGGTACTTCCCGTAACCTCCCTGAATCTTTTCGTGTACCCCCGTCTGGACGTCGCGCTCAAGGATACGCGTACGACGGGCTTTGGGGAAGTCGGCTGCTTTGAGGATGTGTGTAGCGTTAACCCAGCCGTCGGACTGGCGGCGCATGATCAGTCCCGCAGGCGTGAGAAACTCGTACACGGGGACGCCAGAGTACGTGGCGGAGTAAACTGTTGACATTACAAATGAGTGCGTGGAATGAAAGGGGGTATTGGTGTGTTGCTACCCCCAAGAGCGTGTATACGGATGATAAGCGCGTACGAATAGAAACAAGTAGCTGTCGAGTCCGGGCAGGCTTCGTTAGTGATGAACTGACCGGTTCTGGTTTGCCTCAGGCGTCTGGGGTTTAACTCAATGGGCCAAAAAAAGCACCGGAAATTGAGTAGCGGTCTAAACGTAGGGTGATAAGAATCGCTGAAAACAAATTGGCGATTGGCTATGATGGCAGATCAGCGAGCGATGTTAGCTTGGATTTTATGCAATGTGTGCTGATACCGTTGACTATTACTTTTGTGGGAAATGAAACAACTTTTAATGGAAGACGGGAGTAGAGTTTTCAGGACCTAATGATAGCTTTCTGAGTAGCTGCAAATCTTGATTAAATATGCAAACACTTGATTTTGGCAGGTGCGCGGGTGTCTTGGCGCGTAATAGCTGGATCTCCTTTAGCAGCTGTGGCGAGTTTGAATGGGAATTCAAGAGGTAGCGAGTGTCTAACGGTAGCAACAGAAACCAGAAAAGGTCAGGGTACGGGTGTAGTGATGGCAAAATGGTGATGCCATGTTGAGTTGATTTTTTTCGAGCCAAGTTTTGACCTAAACACCATAAGGCAGTCACGTGAGAACGGCGCAAGGTTTTAAGGATATGGCACGTGACACAAGAGGATCTTGTTTGCACGGAGTTTACACTTTTGCTGGTGGAAATATATCTGGTTAGCTTAAGGGGAAAATTTGGTATAATATTAAAATAGATTTGTCAGAGTGGGATTACGGTTAATATTACTCACGTCTAGGTCTAGATATCACGTTTGTACGCACGTTTCATCTAACCAACGTTGCCAGGCTAGTGAAAAATCGTAAACATAGGATTATATTTTGAGATATAAGCTTGCGGAACAACAGATAAGCATCGTTATTGTATATAATCCAAATAGTTCACACTAATTACGCTAACCTTTTAATATTTCTTTGAAGGGTAAATTCTTCAGGATTCTTACTAAATCAGAACTTTGCGTAGTATCTTTCCTAAAGCATATAACTTTCCTAAACTTGTAGCATTCGGTAGCCGTGACAAAAAAAGGGCTCAAGATCTATAGTTATCTGATTGAGCAGTCCTATTGACATGGTATTGAAAAATTTAAGCATTTACCAATGATTTAATTCCCCTGACACCCACCAAGCCGTAACAACCCTTGTTTGATCTTCCGCCTGCATACAGCCGAAGGGTCAGCAGTGCCGAAAGATTGACCAAGACAAATGAAGATCACTTATGTCCAACACCTATATAAATCATATTGCTATCGCCATCTTGTCCCTTTGATTCGCACTACCCACTATCTAGACTCTCTTTAGTACCACGCTGTAATGTCTTCCTTCAGCTTGCACGAATAAGCTGTGCGCTCTATTTCAACCTCCATTTGTAAGCACCTCCATCGGGACTGTTCTGCAGACTTCCGGTTTTGGCGATCGCTGCGAGATTTTCAACCACAAATAGAAACAGGGCCTGGCCTTCTTCCGTCCCTCCACCAAGCCCTCAGTAACATGCCATATACCATCGGCGACAAGTGTCTCACGCTCACTAGTTTTCTCACAGTGGCAGACCGCGAGATTATCGTGCAAAACCAGCGTATTTTCCAGTTCTGTCTCGCCAAAGCGGTGCTCGTGTACGTGTCTGAGCTCTCCACGAAGGTGGTGCCCCTTTACACCGACATGCTCGTGATCTACGCTTCACTCTTGGACAAAGTAACAGGGTTCGATGACGTCACCCTAGTGGCAGCCAAGACCAAAAATACGTTCGTACAACTCGAGCTGGCCCTAAAGGACATGGAGGGCCGGACGGAAAAGCTCAAGCAGCTGCCGTTTTCTTACAACGAGGCCGTGAGGCCGCTTGCCTCTCAGGTTACAAGGCTAGTGACTTTGGCGTTCAAAGAAGCGGTAGACCTGCTCGAGGCGATCGAGTTCTTCTTCAAGGCATTTGACAACTTGACCAAGCTCATCATGCCGATGTTTCTTGAGCAGACGCGGGACTTTCTCGTCAGCTTCGAGCGTACCCGGCGGTACTTAGAGATGGAGATTGACTTTAGGGGGTTTATGGAGGTGGATGAGGATACGCTTGGTAAGTTGAAAAAAGCTGAACGGGTTACGTCTGGTATCGAGCAGGAAGCCAAGTTCGCCCAGGCTGCATTCACCACTTTCAACGTGAGCATGTCGCATTACACGAAACAGTTGTTAGGACTGGCAATTTTGCACAGAGACATTCCGCTCGAGCAATGCGGGTTGGGCATCAGACGGACGGTGTGTTACGAGGCGACAAGGTCCATTCGTGGGATTCCGCTTGTGACAGAGAAGGACGAAAGGCAGGTGAGCCGCATTGTATACTATGCGGTAGTTATGGTGATGGTAATGGTGATGGTGGTGTTTTACCGGTTTTTGAAGATTGTCAGGGACTAAGAAATGGATAGGACGTATCTGAGCATATTTTCGAGGAGTTGCCTATCGATCCATGCCTTGATCTTTTTCGAAAAAAGGTGTTCGAGCATCGTTGAATGGTTTGCCCCCACATTTCTGTTTGGTTTATCCTACATCGTTGAATGGTTCTTTTCCAAGGGACCTCCTTCCAGACCCCAGTGAAATGTGTCCCCAAAGATTTCTTTACCAGTGAACGGCTTCTCTTGATTGGTAGCCACACATGTAACGGTGATAGATCACTGTGTATACACAGCCTGACTACATACCAGATTTGAAATGGAGCTTAAATGGGCTCGGGTAATGTCATTTCCAGTTTACGGCACCATTTTTGAAATACCAATGGCCCTGCCTCTTTTGCCCATGACCCTTTTTGGTTGGAAAATTTCAATCAATTGTTCTCCTAATATAGTCTTGAGACAAGTTGGCTATCCAGCTCCTCTGAGCCAACTGTGTTACGTCCCAGAGTGCAGTTACCGAATAACTGCCGACCTCGTGTTCCAATGTAAGCATCTTCATATGTGTTAAGCTGTTAAGCCTTGCGTCTTGATTCCCATGATATTATATGTCCGAATCCTATCGGATATTACATCTTCCCCCCACCCTCTGCTTTTACTTTCCTATTATGGATTTTATTTTCGTTGGCTCTTCCCTTTTTTCTCGCCACCTTCGGTCTTCCCTGCTTTACTTATCTTGTATTGTATCTTGCATTAATTTAATTTATTTAATATCTGGCTATCACATAGAACTAGTATGCAATCCGTAGCAATTTGCAAATGAAACTCCCAAGTGTTTTATGGTCTGTTTTTGGCAGGCCACATTTTTCTCAGTCTCATGGGTAGGATCGGTGTACCAGTCTGTGTTAGAGATCTAAATCCCCTAGGCTGCTAACCAATCTGTATAAAACTCTACGATTCAATCCATTACACACAGAATGGTCCCTTGGCCCAGTTGGTTAAGGCATCGTGCTAATAACGCGGGGATCAGCAGTTCGATCCTGCTAGGGACCACTTTTTTTAGTCATTTCTTTAAAAATGCCCGAGTTTTTCAAAGCCAAGTCACAGAGTAGCTATAAGGCTTTTCAAGGGTCTCAAATAGCTGTGTTGGTCCATTTAGACTTGGAGTAATCTACACGAGGGACTGGAACCATTTTCAATATTCAAGCTTTTGGAATCTCAATCTTACTACACGATTGGATAACGTAAAAAAGGAGCACGATTTTCTCACTAGCCCTCGATGCCTTGGAAAGAGCGTGCCTATCTGTTTGCCGCCTAATCAAGGCTAGGAATTGCTAGTGTTTGATTTCATGAGACGAGGTTTGAGATGCAACCCGAGGCTACTTTGCCCAGGCTGTAATATCATAACTACTAGCTGACACGCGCATAAATCGAGCCATAGATCGTTTGCACCATAGTTAATGATTACGTAGGTTAGTAATGGATGGCCGCTAGCCAGAATATGTAAGACGGTCCCTGCAACACTGATATAGGAGCGATTTGGCAGATTCAAGACCAGATCCAAATCAAAGCTTACCACCATGGAGTCCATAGCTTGGCTACACCCCTCCTGGTGAATGCACCTGAAAACTTATCAACAGAGAACAGGGTTTAGAATCACTAGAATGTTTGGATTCAAGTCAAATTCTACACATAAATGTACATATGCAAGGAATTACGGGCGCGGGTCCCAAGACAGCACGCGAATTACAATGTTTCAACGGGAAGTTGTTTAATGTCATGCATTGATATATTAAAAGACGATTGGTCAGGGGGTTGCAACCAAAAGCCTTGGTATAGGGTAGGGGTTTGGAATCTAACACCGCAAGCATCAAAGCTCGAATCACCTAACATCACTTTACGCAGTGTGGTTCCCATACCGTCTCTTTAGCTTCATCCCGATTTCCGCTCCACTCAACCCGGTTACTCATTTCTCTCCGCTTGCGCGATAATATCATCCCACAGAACGTGCGTGACATACCACCACTGCACCAAGCCAATGAATGCCAATGAACCACCTACACCTACCCACAAGCCCCTAATCTCCAACCCCACGTGGAACGCAAGGTAATACGCCACAGGAACACCAATCACATAATAACAGAACAAGTTCAACTTGGACCCGAAAGCCTGGCGGCCCTGGCCGCGCAAGATCCCTGAGGTCACCGCAGTGATCTGGTCAAAGAACGTCATATAGGCAATGTACGGAATAGTCGCGGCCACCATATCCACCACGTCCTGCTCCGTGGTGAACGCCTTGGGAATCTGGAAGCGCGCAAAGTACAAGACGGAAAAGTTGAACACCGCGAGGCAAGCACCAAAGACGACCGAGACCTTGGTGGTGTGCTTGGCGGAGTTTGGCAAGCCAGCACCCACAAGGTTGGCGACCCTGGTGGATGTGGCGATGCCCACAGCAAATGGCACCTGGAAGCTGATCAGACAGAGCGACGCCATGATGGACTGGGCAGCCAAGTGGGTAGGACCAAGATAGGCGGCCATAAACGTCAAGGCCTCAAAGGCGAGAAACTCCGATACCACCATGATCACGCCGGGAAGGCCCAAGGCAAAGAGGGCCAGCCAGTTACGGAAAGCATTGCGAAGGTCCAATCCACCCCAACACTTGAGCGGCTGGAGCTCTGCATTGTTGCGGTTGAGGAACACAAAGAGCAAGAGACCCAGCGCCATAAGATAGTAGGTGATGGAGACGGCGATGGGTGCGCCAATGAAACCGAGGCCGTAGGTGGGTGAGAGAATGAGGAGGTAGTTGAGCACAACATTGATAGGCGCTACGCAGCAGAGAATGTAGGTGGATGCGTTGAAGATGCCTTGGGCCTGGAGGTACCTCTTTCCGGTTTCAAAAACGACAAAGCCTGGAACGCCGAGAATGATCCACCTGAGGTACAAGGAGGAAAGGACAACGAGATGGGGCTCGGGAACCAAGAATTGAAGCACATATTCGGCGCCATAGAACCAGAAGAGAGCGACGGGGATGAAACACGTAAGAATAAGCGCGGTGCACCGTTGGAAGTACAACCCCACGAGTGCATATCGGCCTGCGCCAAAGGACTGCGCGCAGAGGGTGTCGAGACACGTTGCGAGGCCCTGGACGGCGGAAAAACCGGTAATGATCGCAGCCATGGAGCCAAGTGTCACCGCGCTGAGCTCCGCGGAGCCTAGTCTACCCACAAAAAAGATGGAGGCCATGGAAAGCGAGTTCTGGAGAAGAAAGGAGATGACAAGAGGGAAGCATGACCGGGATAAGAGCTTGACTTCACGTCTAATCAGCTGATCGTACTCATGGTTCTGTTCTTCCCACGGATCTACTTCGTCAAGCCGCATAAGAAGCGAGCCGTAGCGCGATGACATTCGTGAAGCGATGGACGGCTGGTGCGACGTCATGCGCGCAAGTGACGGTTGATGGAACAACGGGCGCGGGACGCTGCCACGGCGGTTGATCAACGGAGACTGGTCGGAGGGATGGACCGGAAATTCCTGGGGATGCGACCGAAACTCCTGGTAATGGGGATCGCCGTAAAGGTCGCGCAAATCGCGCTCGATGATGGTGTTGATCTCGTCAATCGTGGGCTGGCGCGCGAGCTCATCCATCATCGAATGGCGGTAGCTGCCAACGGCGACGGAACCGCTGTTGAGGCCCATGTTGACGCTGGCGACAGCCGTCGCGTGGGACTGGGATGTGTACACCGTGTGTGCGTCCAGGTGGTTGAACGAAGAGTATGAAAACGTGTCCGTTTCGTCGTCGGAAGGGTAAGACATGGGGATGGGACTGGAGGATAAATGAGTCAGACGAAATCCAGATGTTGGCCAGAGAGTGGTATCAAAAAGGAGTGAGGGATTATTGGGCCAGGATGACAGAATCAGAGGGGTATCTTACTTTTGTCAGATGGGCCAGTGGGTTATTTCCGACTCGATTTCTGTCTAAACAGTCTTGGCCTGTTTCTGAAGCGGTGAGACTGGAGAGACGTCTGCTATGGATGAAGGCCCCGGATAGATGGCACAGTCGATACACGTATTATGCTATTGATTCCTAGGAAATGGCAAATAAATATATATGTGAGTTCTGATGCCGACTTTAGCACTTATCAGGTATGAGAGAATCACTTGTACATGGTGACTGGTCAGCTCAACTCACAGGATTCGATTGCTCTGCTCGATACCGCAAAACGTCAACAAACAAACCGCCGCCGTTTTACCGCCGCATGCGTATGCACGCTGCAACACCGGGGAAGAGCTGCACCGAAGAAGATCCGGGGAAGCCACTGAGTTTCTGGGTTCCGGTTGATTATATTTGCGTCAGTAAATCAAATATTTAGGAATAATATCTCAGTAGATTATGATACTAGGCGGGATTGTGGTACACGTCCTTGTCTCAACGAAAAGAGAGACGACACGGTCGTTGTCAGGTTCATTGGGGCCCGGAGGTCGGTTCGTGAATGACGAAAAACTATCGACATTTTCATCCACGTAGTCGATTGGTTAACATTAATAGTTTAGAATACAGTCAAACAAAATCGACAATCTAGCTGATTGAGCTATACCATAGAGTTTACCGGATAGATCGGCTTCACAAGGATACTAGGAGCATTGGCTACCGTTTCTGATCTTGTTACTTGTCCCAATGTCATCATTAGAGCACAAGGCGCCCACCGAATGAAATGGACGGCTCATTTCGTTCTCCGAGCGTTTTTTTTTTTGCAACCTAAACTATTTAACACCTAAATAACACGTTTATTTTATAACTAATTAAAAATATAAATAGAACTTTTCTTTTGACAACCTCCACTTGTATAACTCGGCTCTGTTGTAGTCCGACCAGCTCGTCGTGCTACACCCAAATTGGTATATCCACACTGGACACTTACAGCGCCTGGCATAATCTCCAACATGAATCGCCTATTTTCAAACCCATCCCATTGACTATCCAAAATCACCTTCACAACGCCCGCACATTCACTATGACCATCTACTCTTTCTGGATGTTTGACAGACACTGCAACTGTATCTATACGCGTGAATGGACACGCTCTAGCCCACTGGTGCCCAGCCATTCCTCCCATTCGTCCGTTTCGTCTACCAGCAGTGCCACCACGCTCCCCGCGGGCGCCATTGGGACGGTGAACGCGTCAAATCAGAATGATTCGGCCAAACTACTCTTTGGGGCTCTTTTTTCGCTCCGAAACATTGCCAACAAGTTGGGCACTCTGCCATTCAATGAGGACACTTCGGTGACGGACCCCCTCGCGATCCACCGCAAAAACTCTCTTAAATCCTTTGCCACAGGCAAGTACCGCGCACACTTTATGGAAACCGCGCTGGGGTTGTACTTTTGCATTCTCTCGGACCCTAATGTGGCTGACTTGCAAATCGTGCTAAAGGATCTTTACGCGGACGTGTATGTGAACCACGTGGTGAAGAATTCGGCGAGTGATGTGGATTTTCCGGCGGAGGAGGTTATTGGGAACGAAAGCTTTGTCAGGGGTGTGGACCAACTAATTACCGCATTGCCTGCGTTTGCGTAAACCGGTGCGAGCGAAATGGATGTCTATCTATAGAAGCACTACTTAATGTCAGAAAGCTGGCAAAAGCTCGGGTTGAGAAATGTGAGCCTTCCAGGAAAATGATTAGTGGCATGATCGGGAAACCTAAAGAGTTTAAAGGGACTAAATATCGCCTAGGAAAGTTCAGAGATGCATGATATCGAGATCTATATAAAGATATACACGGAATAAGAGGATTGTATAATAGAGATAGAAAAAAAGAGTCTCAAGGCGTACTGTGTGCGATGACTCTGAAGCTAGGATGCCGAAACGCCCGACCTGGTCTATGAGAGCTCGTAAACGATTAAGGTCTAAGGATCAGAGAATTTCTGCAAGCTCCAGCGCTGGTCATATATGATCATAAACAACTATCTGATTGTCACATAACTCCCGCCCATACGTATAATACAGCCTCTACTCCTAGAATCTACTCCTAACCGAAAGCCATGCGCTATCATATCCCATAGCATTAATACCATCGTTTTAAAGCACCTTACCCTGTCTACAACACTAAATCCGCAACTAAGATTTGTTTAAACGTTGCTTATAATTTTTCGGCGCTAGCGCTGCGCTCTCTGTGCCTCATCAAGTCTTCGCCCCTTTGGTGGACATTCGCGACTCTGTGAGTGTTCTTCCAGTCGCTGGTACCAGTCACCACCAAGTTACGTCTAATCACCTCAACATCATCCTTGGAAAACCCAAGGTTCTTGGTCATGTACTGTTCAATCCCCCCAAACTCCTCGTTCAACACTCTCACCGTCAGAAGCATGGCCTCGTACCTCGAACTGAACAAGTTTGTAAACCCATCTCTCTCAAGTTTGAAGCCGGAACGGCCACAGGCAATCTTATCAACCACCGAGGCCGAGCCGTCGCCGCTGTAACGGTTCAAACGTTCCTGCAAGGCGCCCACATTGTCCTTGAACTTTTTCCTAATCACCTCGCGGTCTGGGAGCAACCCAACGGTGGTCAATTCGTACTCGCGACATACAGTATCCACATCGACACCCACAAGAAGCAAGATAAGCATCGCCATGACCCCGGTACGGTCCTTGCCCGCGGTGCAGTGGAACAAGATTCCTTCTTTTGGATGGTCTCTTAAGAACTCAAACACCGAGGTGAAGGCTGCGCCACCCTTTGTAAGCATGTCACGGTACACGTGGACATACGTCGACCAGCACGTCAACAAGTTGGAGTAGCGGCCAGCAATGGCAGCGGGAGAGAAGTCCTCGTCTGGGAATACCGGAGCGTAAACGTTCCTGACCCCGTCAACGTCCGGCACCCCGTCACGGTTACGTTCGTGTTGCGAGCGGAAGTCAAATACCGCAGTGATACCCAACTCCTGGATCGCCTGCTTTCCGAGGGAGGTGATATTTGCCGGGTTGGCACATCTGAACGCAATGTTGCGCTTGACAAATGAGTTGCGTGGGCCCTGGGTCACTCTGAACCCACCAATGTCTCTAAAGTTATGGATCCCATCCACCTTCTTCCATCTCGACCAGGTCGCAAAGTGGTACGAACGGTCGTAGAAACGCGCAACCTCCTGGGACGACGAGAGGTAGTCGGTAATATGTTGGGAGACGACCGAGCTGTAGTTAACCTTGCCCTGGTTCGTTAACGGCAAGTTGTCTGGGTTATAATCCTCGGCATTGTCTTCATCAATGTCTTTAACCCCATAGAAGTTGTGGTTGGCACCCTCGATAAGCACCAACGTGTGGCGACCGTCCAAGGTGTTGCAAAACTTGGCAGCATCAGTGATCGGCACAATGTGATCCCGCAACCCAAAGATAGTGAGAACATTAATGTCAGGCAGCAAATATTTCAAGTCTTCCATCTCCTGAGACAACAAGCTATTGGTTTCGGCCGCCGGGATCCACACGCTCCGGTATTCTCCCAACCGGTAGGTGTTTGGCACAAACGAGCCTCCTTTTTCCTCCCAGGAGGGAAATGCAGTGTCCATCATCTTCTTGAGAAACTCGCTTGTATAACGAGAGGAAACATTGATCAAGTTAGGAATCAACGAGAAGGCCTCGCCCCTGTCGAGCCTTCTCTGCTGTTGCAAAGCGTACTGGAACATGGCTACGGCGCCTCTCGAGTGCCCTATGATCAGGGTGACGTGTAACGCAATGCCAAAGACGCCCGACGCGAGGGCTTGGAGACAAAGATCAACGTCCTGGAGGTCCTGGGGGATAATGCGACCGAGCTTCGGGTCCGCTGAGTCCTGGGAGTCTCCACAGCCGCGGAAATCAATACGCAATGAGAAGATTCCGAGGTCTGTTGCAAGCTGTTGTGCTATTTCACGGTGATAACAGTAGTTTTTGTGGCCGCCGTGTCCATGGAGGATTAATGACGCCTTTAAGGTCGGTGGGTGGCAGTTGTTCAGTAAGGAGGCAGCGACATCGGAGGGATCGGCCGGGTTGAAGTATGGCGGGGTAGTTAAAATGCCGACGATTCCAGCGGAGTTAGATGGCGAGCCAGGCACTGGGATCGAAACGAGTGTCTCGTTTGGCGCGAGGTTTTCACGGGACATGATGGGGTTGTTTGCAAAGGAAGGGGGGAAAGGCAGAGGCAGAGTTCAGCGGTAATCGTTAGCAAAAGGCAAAGCGATCAGAATGGTGATTCAAAGTAGGACAATAGACTAGACGCGAGGTGGGGCTTGCAATGAGCTGAGGGTGAGGTAACAGCAAAATGGATCAAACCTGGGGTGACGATCTAGAAGTTCGGTTTAGAAGCTCTAAAGGGGAAGTTTAGTTCTCGTTTGAGTATGCTGACAGCTATTTTTACGGAAGGTCGGGAATCGGAGACGCAATTGGCGTAAAGCGCGAGACAATCCATGACGGACTTCGCTCGGTATAAATATTCACACGCTCGGCGCTGTGGCGGACGTGTAGGTGGGGTAAAAACCTTAGCGGTGCGGATTGGGACCAGTGCATGCAGGATTTTTTTTGCATATAACGAGAAACACTGTGTACTGGATCGGGATTAAGGGAGGATTTTTGAATAAGATCTGGCAAGATAGGGTGGAAACAACGGTGGGTTTGCAACATAATAGACAATAATTTTGGCCACCTTTGGAACATTTCTGGGGCAGCTGGGTATGTCATTGCCAAAAAGGTTTCGTTAGGTTTGGTATGTGGAAATACGGCATTAAAGCATAAGAATGAGGGCGGGACCGATTTTAGGACCATGGTAGAACGTAGACAAAGCGCAATATTGGGTGGGTAGGAGGATGGTGTATAAGGAAACTATGGACCCTAACGGTTGGTAAGTGTGCGGCTGCCTCAGCCGAAAATCCTGACAAAAGCTCTGCACCTTCCAGAGGTTGTGCCGGTACACTTTGAGGAAGGGGAATAAGTGCTAGGTAGCCTCTGGTAGAATCTGATCCGATAGGGCTTCGCGACTTATAAAGGATGCGTATCATTCGGGCTCGAGAGTAGGGGCAGGTTATGATCGAAACGACCGCCAGGCTGTAGACATAATTACAGCAAAATGACTTGAATTAAGATTTCTTTCGTGAAACTGGAGTGGCATGCTAGACTTAGTAACTCTATAAGATTTCTATACATTAAATTGCCAGGTTTTGGTAGGTATCAATAATATGCTGACTGATAGCAACCATCTGCTGGTACCGATATTAGGCCTCATGGTGTACCATAGTAACACCTTTCACACTCATTTTGAACTCCAGAATCAATTGCTTTGCATGCTAAATACTGGTCTATATGGTTCTACTATCAGTAACCCCAGGTCTTTACTTTTCGACTGGTATGAAATACTGGCGAGTCCCTAAGCAGTGCGTAAGCCATAAACAATACGGGGAACCTTTAAACAGTACCATGAAATCACTTACATCTACTCTTTACATTCCAAACCATAGATAGCATAAAAATATTTTCACCGGTGCAAGGAATTTTTAAAATTCCGGTGTTTTACATCCACAGAGATGTGGGGTGCTTTTCTGTACTAAACCGCCGATTTATTACCCTACACTAACGCGCAGACAGAATGGTGCATTGCGAAAAGTCAAGATGTACACTCTTACCACCTATATAAGTAACTTACAACGGCTAGTAATCTAGATACTAGCACTGAGAAAGCTGGCCAATGTCGCCGTACTGTGAGCTGTGAAGAGTAGCAAATCTGAACCTCCTCTTACATCCCCGCAATTATTCTCGCAGAGTAGCCGTGGCTGTGTCATTTTTGGAAAACGGACTTTCCCCTTCGATGCTTGCGGTTAATCTAATAATACGAATATAATGGCGCCATAAACACACCTTAAGTCTACAAAGCAATCGCCAGACAATCTATCGACCCAGTAGGGTACCAGGTCTAGCCCTGTATGAACAGCCCTACTGCGCGATTACCTCATGCCTCCCTTCCTCCCCCCACCCATTCACCGGTCTTTTTTTCTTTCACCACCAATCTACGCCCCGCAGACAAAGGTAGACGGATATCCCGGGATTTTCCAAGCTTCCCCCATAATCACTTTGGCAGTGTCATATCACTAGGCTCGCTCCGCTCACTTGTTGCTCGCACCTTCTCGATCCTTCTGCACGTTGCCGTACCAGCCGACATGTTATTATGCACGAGCAACATGCACGCAGAAGGCTCTAGAACCCCATAGTGTGGCGCAGCACCTCACCCTAATAGCATAAACACACCACACGCCACGGCACTGCCACAAACCTTAACACATACAGCATAGAAGGCCATGGAAATTCTGCCCCCTAAGGCTCAACTTGCTGTTTCGCACTATATAAATCGGCCCCTCTTCCCCCCTTCCTTCCACTTCCGTTCCTTCCTCCTTACTACAATTGTCTAACAATTAGCAACTACTACACTACAAATATGTCTAAAGCTATCGGAATTGATTTGGGAACCACCTACTCGTGTGTGGCCCACTTCGTCAACGACCGCGTGGAGATCATTGCCAACGACCAAGGTAATAGAACCACGCCCTCCTTTGTTGCCTTCACCGACACTGAACGTCTTATCGGTGATTCGGCCAAGAATCAGGCGGCCATGAACCCTGCGAATACCGTTTTCGACGCCAAGCGGTTGATCGGGCGCAAGTTCTCCGACCTGGAGGTCCAGACCGACATGAAGCACTTCCCCTTCAAGGTCGTGGACAAGGGTGGCAAGCCACAGATCCAAGTCGAGTTCAAGGGCGAAACCAAGGTTTTTTCGCCAGAGGAAATCTCGTCTATGATCTTGCTCAAGATGAAGGAGACCGCCGAGAACTACCTCGGCGGGAAGGTGACTGACGCCGTCATCACGGTTCCTGCCTACTTCAATGACTCCCAGCGCCAAGCCACCAAGGATGCCGGTTTGATTTCCGGGATGAACGTGTTGAGAATCATCAACGAGCCTACCGCCGCTGCCATCGCCTACGGGTTGGACAAGAAGGAGTCCGGGGCCGGTGAACACAACGTATTGATCTTTGATTTGGGTGGTGGTACCTTCGATGTGTCTCTTTTGTCCATTGACGAGGGGATCTTCGAGGTCAAGGCTACCGCCGGTGACACCCACTTGGGGGGTGAGGACTTTGACAACAGAATCGTCAACCACTTTGTGGATGAATTCAAGCGCAAGCACAAGAAGGACTTGTCCTCCAACCAACGTTCCTTGAGAAGATTAAGAACCGCATGTGAACGTGCCAAGAGAACGTTGTCTTCTTCTGCCCAGACCTCGATCGAAATCGACTCCCTCTATGAAGGTATCGACTTCTACACGTCCATCACCAGAGCCCGTTTTGAGGAGTTGTGTGCGGACTTGTTCAGATCCACCATGGAACCAGTTGAGAAGGTGTTGAGAGATGCCAAGTTGGACAAGTCTGCCGTCCACGAGATTGTGCTTGTCGGTGGGTCCACCAGAATTCCAAAGGTCCAGAAGTTGGTTTCCGACTTCTTCAACGGGAAGGAGCCAAACAGATCGATTAACCCGGATGAGGCTGTGGCCTACGGTGCTGCCGTCCAGGCGGCGATTCTCACTGGTGATACCTCTTCCAAGACCCAGGATCTTCTTTTGTTGGATGTTGCTCCATTGTCCCTCGGGATCGAGACCGCTGGTGGGATCATGACCAAGTTGATTCCTAGAAACTCCACCATCCCAACCAAGAAGTCGGAGACCTTCTCCACCTACGCCGATAACCAGCCAGGTGTGTTGATCCAGGTGTTTGAAGGTGAGCGTGCCAAGACCAAGGACAACAACTTGCTCGGTAAGTTTGAGTTGTCCGGCATTCCACCAGCCCCAAGAGGGGTTCCACAGGTTGAGGTCACTTTCGATATTGATGCCAACGGTATTCTTAACGTCTCCGCGTTGGAGAAGGGTACCGGTAAGACTCAGAAGATCACCATTACCAACGACAAGGGTAGATTGTCCAAGGAGGATATTGAAAGAATGGTCTCTGAAGCCGAAAAGTACAAGGACGAGGATGAGCAGGAAGCTGCCAGAATTGCTGCCAAGAACGGTTTGGAATCCTACGCCTACTCGTTAAAGAACACCTTGAACGAGGAGCAGATCAAGGCCAAGATCAGTGACGAGGATAAGAGCACTTTGACGGCGAAGATTGACGAAACCACCAACTGGATCGACGACAACCAGACCGCCACCACCGATGAGTATGCCGATAGACAGAAGGAATTGGAGGGCATTGCCAATCCAATTTTGTCCAAGGTCTACGCTGATGGCGCCGAGGGTGCTCCAGGCGGTGCCCCAGGTGGCTTCCCAGGTGGTGCTCCGGGTGGTTTCCCAGGCGGTGCTTCCGAGCCAGCCGGCCCAACCGTCGAGGAAGTAGATTAAAGCGTTTGATGGTTATTTCTTTAATGTATGATTTTATGTATATCAGTGTAGGTTGAAGATTTGAGAGCTTTCTGTTAGTTAACTAATCTCTTCATATTTGGGTTATTGCACCTTTTTTTTTGGTTCCGCGTAGCGCTATCAAGGCCTCAGATAGTTGTGCCTCGGGTTGAAGCGTACCCGTGACATCGTATACATTCCAGTAGCATTTCTTTCTTATCACATACAAATAACCTAAATAAGTCCTTAAATCTCAATTTTGCACCGGTCTTTCCGAGAACAGGAGACAGCATAACCACGATCTAGGCCTGCTGATAACTCCAATCTGTGTTAGTCTGTCTTATCGTCATGTGCGTGTGGTTGCTTCTTACACCAAGCCGCACTAAATACCAAACGCCAACCCTTTCTACTCTATGCCGTGAAGTGCTCTACAGGCGTAATAGCACACGTCTATTAATTCAATACCCGTAAACCGACTACTCTTTACATCTCCTAGCGTATGAAACCAGAGCAGTTTGATCTTAAGCGGATTTCTCGGCTCCCTAACGAGATCATCGGGTTAATCTTTTCTCACTTGCCCTTGAAGCATGTTCTTGCATTTAAGCACGCTGCAGACCTCAGCGGCCTAGTTTCAGACCGGTTATTCTCCAGGCTAGCGATCACAAACTTCCTTGACCCCAGTCCTGATCCGTATGCCAACCACATGGACCCTGCCGGGTTTGAGACGTTTGCCAAAGACCCCGAGCATTCCCTGTTCCAGGTATCGTATGGCTGCTTGCGGATGCGCTACACTGGCTTGTTTTCATTCACGCCAGAAGCGGTTGAGCGATTAAAAAGAATAAAGCGGTTGAACATCAGGTATGTCTTTTTTGACAAATACCAGTTTGGGGTCGACGAGATACCTCAGTTTGATAACGTCAACAGCTTGAGCTTGTCTTGTTCTCAAATCAACTGGACACGGCTCTCTCTCCCTCCCAGGTTACGAAGCTTCAGTGTGACTGTTGCCAAAGATCCACAATTCGTCTCTCACGACCTGGTATACTTTCCTGAGTCATTAAGGAGATTGAGCATCCATGGTTTGACTTTGACACCGACGCTATACTCAAAAATACCCTCAATGTTGGAGGAGCTTTTAGTGGGTGGCCAGGCTGCATTCTCTGTCTCTGACTTCAATCAAGCTCTGCTCTCTTGCTTGAAGAAATTCCGAATGAGTTCCTCCTGGTTGCAGCCTATGGGTGTTGAAGGGATCGTGCTACCCGATACACTTGTCGATCTAAAATTAGACCTTTGCCGGGTCAAAGTCTTTGCAAATGTGGCACTCCCAAAAAACTTGAGGGGACTTTGTTTCCGGTGCGGGACATTAGAAAAGTTCGAAGTTGCACTTCCAGACGGATTAGAGGTTTTGGAGATTGATAACACCAGAATAAAGCAATGGTCCCATAAGATGCCACAGTCCCTAAGAGTATTGGCAATAAGAAATTCTTCTCTTTCCGAACTTGCCTTCCTTCAGAAATTACCTGCTGGGTTACAAAGACTTGACTTGAGTGGAAATCGTCTCAGAGGGAACACACGGTCATCAACCCAGCCAGTTTTCAGATTTCCGGATTCACTAATATCACTTAATTTGTCAAAAAATCCCAAGCTCTTCCAAGGCTGCGACATGGCACTGTTTGTGTTTCCGCAGGGGCTTGTTAGTTTAGATGTGACAGATACCGGGGTTTCTGATATTATGGCCAAACTTCCTTCTGGTTGTCTCGAAATGGTTTCGCTCGTAGAGACAAAACGGCGGAGAGTGTGATTGCCTTTAGACACAGATAGGTCCGAAATGAATAAAATAAATAATAAATTGAGATAAAAATTGAGATAAAAATTGAGACAAAAATTGAGACAAAAATTAATTCGATAGACAAAGATATATATCAGGAAAGCACAATGGAATGTCACTTGCCCAATACTAATCTGACGACTAGAAATGCACCTTGGACTGATATTCTATTAAGGTTAAGGTACTGGTAAATTCTCCTGTCAAAGTATATGTCTACAGGGTAAATTTTTAAAAATAGAAATTTATTAAATACAATAAGATACAGTTATGGTACACGAGAATGAGAGACAGTCGACTAAGGGTTTCCGGTAGTTGCGAAAGGAGAGGCAGACCCAGTAAATCAGCCCTAAGGAAATGCGGCAAGACATGATGAGGGAATAAGTAGGGAGATCCAAAGTGGCGATGGAACGACAGAGCTGTGGAGCTAACCCCCACGCGGGAAGAAATTTCTGGCAAGTTTTCACGTTACATCTCCTTCTTCCCCGGCTTACTCTGTGGCAATCGGATAGGCCCAATGTACTTCCGCACCAAGCCCTTGACCGTCACAAACCAGAAGTTCTTCACCTGGACAGGAATCACGGCCAATTGTGGCGCACTCAATAAAGTGTCAACCTTCAACACGTACCCATCAATAACAGTCTTGGTAACAGCATTCTGCTCGTATCTCAACTTAATGAACACGACATAACTGAGCACAACAATCAAGTGCTTCGCCGCGTTGAGAACCTGCCATCTGAACACCAAAAGAATAAGCGTCCTTGGCACTATGGTGATCATCTGCAAGAGAATCATGGCCTCGGCAGTGGCACAGATATAGTGAGACTTTTCTGAGAATTGTGCCTGGAAGTTCTTGATCCAGTCCAGAAGACGGGCGTTCGATTTGTTCAAGTTGTTGTTGAAATAGTTCAACGCGTGGAAGGTGGAAAAGATGGTAAAGGAGTATAGCGCGCCTTGCAACGGGATCGGGCCACGGTTCGGGTTTGCGTTGGTAGTGAAGAGAAGCAACGAGAGCGCAAACAACAAGTATTGCACGTTATCATTCTTCAAGAAGTCGTGGAGTAAAAAGTCGCGGTTCACAAGCAACTGGAACGGAAGCGACTTTTTGTTCTTGTACGACTGGCGGAGCACAATAAGGTATGAGAAGATAATGGCAACCAAAGCCCAGCGATAAAACCTAAGTGGTGTCGGCGAATACGCCGCCTTGAAGAGCGACGTGAGCGAGTGGAGCACGGAAAACGTCACGGTTGCCACATGGCCAAGGAACCAGTAGAACTGGATGTTTGTGACAAGTGGCTTGAGGAGCTGGAGGATCTTAGGCGAATTGCTCACAGTGTTAGTAGTGGACATTTGGGCAAAGGTGGGTGCGGAGAAGATATTCAAAGAATGGTCGACTTTTGGGAGGGGCGTACTCTCTAATCAGTAGCAAATTTAGCAGCGATCGTGTGACGGCGAGCGAGCGAAACACGTGGAGGCGCAGTGGGGGGGAGGTGCTTTTGGAGACAGAATAGGGTATACTCAGAGGATTTAAATTTTAGAAATTGGTTAAAAAAATTAAATAGCTCTGGTTAATAGCTTTACTTTCTCTATAATGGAGCTCTGTGTATTTCCGGGTACGGTAATAGCTGCAAAATGGTTCTCATAAAGTGAGCTGGAGTCCTACGTGAGAGCCACAACGGGGTTTCCGGGACTACAGGCCACAGCATACTCAGATCAGTTAAAGAAAGGTTGATCAAGGTTTGGTACCGATCCCCTGTGGAGACATTGTTTGCTACAAACGATTAATCTGAAGCAGTCTCGATAGTGCTTTGCCACTCTGGTGTTTTTTCTAGAGATGGGAGGTGAACACAAAGGAATGATATGTGCGGTATATCGGCCAGGCTCGCAAAACTCATATACGCCTACCTCAAGCTCAACCGTCTATCAAATCACCCAATGGTAGCGATGTATCTGCTAATACATAGTCATTTACCCATGGATATTACTCATTGTTCTTTTTTTGCAAGTTGAATTCATTAGAAAGCATTATATAACCGACCCCGAAATAATATATTGTTGAAATAAAAGATCCCGTCACTGGTGCTCTAAGCGTAGGACTTCTTTGGGAATGGGAAGGTTGGGCCGACTTCCTGGATGGAAAGGGCGGCCATCCATTGACCGACATCAACAGCTTGGGCCAAGTTCTTACCCTCGACCAACGCGGCCATGAAACCAGCAGCAAAAGCGTCACCGGCACCGTTGGTGTCGACAATCTTGGAAGACTCCAAGGGGTAGACTTGGTACTCCTTGACATCTAACTTGTCGGCAGTGGCGTCGTAGGTGGCAGTGATGGTTGGGTCCAATCCCTGGGTGAAGACAACGGTTCTTGGTCTCTTGGCGTTGACCTTTTCGAGCTTGGCAATGTGCTGAGCGATTTCGGCAACGGTGGAGGACTCTGGTAAGCCGTGGGAGCTGGCGTAGGCAGCGGCCTCAGATTCATTGGCGATGATGTAGTCGATGTATGGCACAATCTCGTCCAAAGCACCCTTGAAAAACTCTGGAATGAATGGCGCGGAGAGGTTCATGGCGATAGTCTTGTTGTTGGCAGAGGCGTGTTCCGCAAGGAGCTTAATAGCTGGTGGGGACACGGTCAAGTGGTACCCACCGATGTAGTAGTGGGTACCGTTCTCGACAAGTTTCCAGTTAGCTGGGATCTGGAGGTGCTCTGGCGTGAAGTGATTGGCAGCAGCCAAGTCAGTCGCCATAGATCTGTTGTGGCCGTTGATCAAAACAGCACACTTGCCAGTGGCATGGTTCTCCTGGAACTGGTACTCGGTTCTCAAGCCGTACTTAGCATTGGCTTCGTTGAGCTTAGCGGAGTACTCGTCCTTACCGACGGAACCGAAGTAGACAACAGAGTCGGCCGGCAAGAGGTATTGGGCACCTCTGGCGGTGTTCTGGGCAGCACCACCGGCAACAAGCTTGACACCGTCCATGTTCAAGACTTCTTTGTAGATTGGCATGTGCTTTTCACTGGCGAGAATGGCGTCATCATCTTTTAAGTCGTACTTTTCCAAGAAAGACTTGGTAGCATCGACCTGGAGATCGAGCAACGGGTTACCTAAACAGATTAATGGGAAAGACATGGTGGTTGATGATGGGAGAAGAGTGTGAAGCAAAAGAGCTAGGTTGAATAGGGTGTTTATAAACCGAAACGGAACGGTGTCGTGAAGATGAAAAATTATGCAGCGATGCCACGTGATGAAAAATTGTTGAGGCAAAGACGCAGGATGTTTTGCACGTGAAAATGCGACGCAGACACGATTGGAACTGGAAAACGTGGGAGAGTTAGGGAGATTATAAGGCAGATCGATGTTGTGTTGGAAGGCAATAAAACCGGAAATCGGGTTAATAACATTAAGGGCTTATTTACAGGTGCGGTTACTGTATCTTGTAGCCGGTTCATAGTTGCGGTTGGTTAGGTTGCTTTTATTTCAGTCTCCGGTCAAGCCTGCATCATTGGCGTTGTACTCCAGATTAATCTCCTAGGCGGTGCACATAAAGCAATTACAGCTATTAATCAGTATAAGATATAATCTCGAGTGGGATTCACCACCTTTTTTGTTATTATTAGTTGATGCATCGCACATGCATTCTACGTGGACAATGATAAGAGCTCAGACAGAGTGGTTTAATTTCAGATGTAAGACGCGAGGTGTGGGGAAAGTCACCACCCGATACTTTTTAAAGGTGTTCCATTCAAGGCCGTAAGGGGGCTTGGAACGTTGTTCCTTGTTAGATGGTCTTTATTTTGACTGGGATTGCGATCCAAAACACTCTACCATGGATACTGCATCAACCACGGATATTTCATCGAGATATCAAAGCACTGGAGCAAAGTATACGAAAAAAAAAAAAAAAAAAAAAAAAAAACAGCGTTATTTCATAACCTCGTAAAACACCCGATATTTCCCATTGCAAACCAAAATTATTAACCCCTACCAAAAGTTTCCACTCCACGCACGTCTTCCAACATTTTCTTCTCCCCACCATTACCTCTCAAAAAAGTTTGGGTCCTGCACAGATCTCCTGGGGAATTCGGCGCTGTCAGCCTCTATATAAGCTAGATCTCCCATCGTCATCATCCACACGCCACCTATCATAAATCTATCAATGGTTTCCCTTTTCGGCTTGTTCCCATACATCCACGAGGATATTTTCCTCCAGTATCGTCCGTTCCCAGAAACAACCACCAATGTGGCGGTCGCGCACTGGCACGAGGTTGCCGGCTCGTTTGTGTTCTACCTGGCGGTTCACTTCCTCGCACCACACTTCTCGCGCACATTCTGCCCGAAAGCGTACGCCTCTTTGTCACCAAAAAACAGAGCAAACTTTGATATCCACCATGTGGCAATGGTCCAGGCGCTCATCTCCATCGTCGTGACCGCGTTCTTCTGGAACAACCCCGACTGGACCTCCAACGATATCCACGGGTACCGCCCATTCGGCGGCTTCATCTCGGCAATTACCGTCGGCTACTTCATCTGGGACTTGGCCGTGTGTGCACGCTACTTCCATTTGTTCGGTGTGGGCTTCCTTGCGCACGCGGTCGCAGCGCTTGCGGTCTTCGCGGCAACGCTCATTCCGTTCTGCCAGCCGTGGGTCCCGTGCTTCCTCCTCTTTGAATTGTCCTCACCGTTTGTCAACATGAACTGGTATGCCAGCAGATTGCCGGAGGGTACCTTTTCCAACACGTTTGTGCTCGTCAACGGCCTCTGCTTGATGGTCACCTTCTTTAGCGTGCGCATTGTCTGGGGCTTCTACGCCATCTACACCTGTTTATGGTCCTACTACACGCAGTGGGCGACCATCGACCACAAATGGGTTCCGATCATGATCGTCTCCCTCAACACCATGTTGAACGTGTTAAACGTGTTCTGGTTCACAAAGATGGTCCAAATCGCGATCAAGAAGGTCCTGGGCAAGAGCCGGAGCAAGAAGTTGGAGTGATCAATGTGAAATTCAGTGAAGAATGATATATGAATAGTCTGTAGTGTGTAATATAATATCACCTGCTTTCTAATGCTTAGTGCGAAAATTACTGGTTGCAACGATGGCACACATCTGGAGACTATTCGCGATATTTTAGTTAGATTGGCATATCAATCCCTTAATTAGCACCTGTTTGATGTACAACCATCACACTCGTATTACTCTAACATTTACTGTCTCTAATGAAAATTCCAAATGCACAGGCCAACCACCCCCATTAGAAAAACCCATCATCCAAATCGCCGTCCTGCAAGGCCTTCAACAATTGGCTCTCCTTGTCACTGGCCTCCAAGTGCGCCTTCAAGTCGACACGGTTGGTACTCGTCGGGTATCTCATGGCCTTGACCATGTCGTTGTGGACCAGATTGCAAAACTTGATTCTGGCGTCGAACGCGGCCTGCGGCTGCGTGGTGGCGTACACGTCGACGATCTCTTTAGACGCCATGAAACCCTGAACATCGATGGTGGCGTCAATAACGCCGTCGCGGATGGCCTTGGCGACAATGTACTCGGTGGACTCCTCGGAGTCAAGCTGCAACTTAATGCAGATATCGCGGAGCGAGATTTTGGAGTACGACAAGGAAATGATGCGGATCCCGGTCTTGATCACGTTCTGTCTCAAACGCATCACCAAGTTGTGCGTCGCATCGCGCTGGAACGTCGCGGCATGCTGCGCCACACACTCCTCAAAGAGCTGCAAGTCACCCAAGCGCACCGCGCGCGTCACTGTGAGGTACGGCGCAAGTGATCTCTCCAACGCCGCATCAGCCGTGAACGTGCGTGCCTCGGGAATGTCTCCCATCAACAACTCGATCACCACGTTGAGTTTGGTTGCAGCCTGCTGGAAACCAACAGTCTGCACGCTCTGAGGTGCCTTGCGCATTGCCGCAGTCACGTACTCGTGCGCGCGCGAGTAGTCGAGCTGCACCGCGTGGATACGCGCGAGGTAGTAGAAGTAGCGCGCGACGAGCGCATTCGACGCCAGGGCCTCGGGGAACTCCAATTTGCCCACAAGGTTTGCCGCCTGCTCCACGTCGTGTGTCAAGAGGTAGTTGCGCAACAACAACGTGATGAGTGCCGCACGCGTCTCGTCGTCGTGTCTCAACGTCGCCGTCCGCAACGCCGTCTGGAGAGCTGGTCTAACGGAGACAAAGTCACGGCGGAGCTCATACGTTCTGGCCACGTAGAACCAGATCTTTGCTGCGATCAAGTCGAGCGTGCGGCGGTTGTGCGCGCGCAACTGCGCGACGACGTGCACGTTGAAAGCATCCAACGCCGCAAGCGCACCCGTGTCCAACAAGTAGAGCTGAACCAAAAGATGAACGTACGCATCAACCTCAGGTAACGGCTCGGAAGCTTCTTCGGCCTCCATGTCGACGTCGCCTTCGCCCACAACCGCAGCGAGATATGTCTTGGTGGCGCCCACGGGATACGTGCGCGCGACAACCGCCGCCAACGCGGGCGCTGTAAGTCGACGTCTCAATGCACCCAAGTCACGGAATGCCTTGGACACGTAACGGTTATCGAAAGAATTGGCCGATTTGGCCACCAACACGAGCGAGTTGGTGATTTCTGTGGTGTTAGTACGAGTCATCAGAACAGGAAGGAGGACTTACCATCGGCGACAGAGCTCTCTGGCTCGCTGACGGAGGCTTTTTCCACTGGTGTAGACATGTTGTGGAGTCGGATAAGCAGAATGGCGGTGAATTGAGGGGTCATGGTTATAGCTCCTTGCCACTGATTTTGCTGTGGGCATGTAAGTCGAGGTGGTACGCGCACGTCCGCAGATGAGCCAAGAAGCGAGACGTCTAAGTTTTGATATCGTAGTGTACAAATATATCAGATTAGTTAATCAGAGCATTTGTCTTCCAGATCGGCTGTATCCTCAGATTAACACTGTCTTCTGTGAGCACAGCGGATTGTTATTACAGATTATACAAGTTTCGGGTTCACCACTTTCGTTTCATATACACCACTGTCTTAGTCAACGTTCAGACCTATTCATTCACTGCAGCCCGACAGTACCATAGAAAGGCTGTTGCAAAGTTGCAGGCACCTCAAGACAAAGAGCAAAACTCTTAGGATACTCACAGTCTCCCACATAGCTGATCCATCAAAGATTTCGCCTATATAGCCTGTTGCAATCTATAGCCCCCGCTTCCCGTTTAGCGCAATGTCTCGAGTGGTTTTAAACCTCGACCCCCAACTGGTCGTGGGCAACCAGAAAGACCCGTTCATCCAGAACGAAAATACCCTCCCCCTCAACCAGATCATTCCTCGCATCATCGCGGAACGCGGTTCGTTCCTCAACCTCACGGAGGAATCGCTTAGTGAGGAGATCAACAGCGAGCGTGAGGTGCTCACCAAGCAAGCCATCCACGTGGCCAGCGACGAATACGACGACGCCGACGACGACGAGGCTAAAACTCGCGGCGAGGAGTTCCTCAAGTCGCGCAATGAGATCATCGGGTTGGTGCAATCTGCCTTGAACGAATCATCGCTCTCGCTCGACTTTGTCTCGCTCATGATCTCGGCCGTCAAGCCCAACTTGGGGAACCTCACCATGTCGCCACACTTGAAGCAGCACGTTCCGGCGGGCTCATTGACGTCGCACCGCGTGTACACGGTGCCGTACGCAGGCGAGCCGCTACAACCGAAGAAACTCATCCACACGGAGGAGGGTTCGCAGGAAAGCGACTTGGTGGTGCCTACGCGCGATATGAAGATTGGCCACGGATGGAAGCTCGAGAGTTTGGAGCGCACCGCCGGCTTGCTTCGAGAGACGAGCATCCGGCTCAGCGAGGAGATTCTCCGCGAGAAGCAATATTGGAGCAACATCAACCACGTGTTGGCGAACTCGCACAACTCGTTGTTCAAGGTGCGCGAGGGCCGTGTCAGGGAGATCGGGGTAAAGTATGGCTATCACGAGTCAGGGTCGCGGTACCATCTCGATAAGGGTGTGGCGATCTTGAAGCGACTCCCGGACGGCGAGTTGGCGTTCACTCCGGTGAGCAGCCACGCAAACACGGTGAGCGAGGAGGAGGTACATCGGTATGTAAGGGTAAGGGTGGTGACGAAGGTGGATGACGAGTGGTGTGTGACGGGAGAGTCAATGTGTGGGTTCAGAACTGCCACTTCCGAAGCACACGGTAGTTCCAACGAAACCGGCAGTCCCGGGGCGAAGGTTGAAGATAACGGCAGTTCTGGAGAGAACGTGGACACGAATGGCAGTTTCGATATGGATATCGAAGGAAATGGAATCACAGAAAGCAACCTCGATGCAACTAGACAAGGAAATGAACCTCCCGTCGATGGTATCACCACCAAAATCCAACGCGCGCAGTTCTTTCTCTTTGAAGAAGAACTCTTCTATCAATTGACCCGCGAGGCCAGTTCACTCCTCCCGTACCAGGTCACCCTTTCCTCGGAAAAAATCGTCTTAGAAAACGGCACCGATGAGCTCATCGAGATCGATGCGGCACACCCCCAGGAGCGCCGCAACTTCTCTCACGCGAACGACAACCGCGCTGACTGCATGGCCTCGTTCTTGCGCTTAATGTTGTGCCACCAGCACCGCCGCGCGCTCCAGGCGAACCAGCGGATGCCGTCGCCGTCCAGTGGCACCCAGCGCCTCGAGCCGTTACTCCTCCGGCCGTTGGTGGGGCATATCCGGCACCACGCGCACCTCGCGAAGATGCAGGGCATGTTGGAGGCGCTCTTTGATGACGGTGAGCCGGTGCAGGTGACCAAGTACTTCAACCTCAAACGGCAGGACTACGCCGCAGATCCCTTAGTTCGTGCGATCACACCACCAATGTCCAAGTTTATGAAGGTGGTGGTGGATGGGGCAGAGCGCTTAGAGATCAAGGTTGTCATGTCCGCCACCGCCAGCTTCTGCAACTCGTACATCAGTGTCGCAATTGTGAGGGTTGGCGAGGCCGGTCGGGTGAAGTTGTTGGACGTGAACTTCACGGATGTTAGGGAGGTGGCAGACTGTTTGGGCTGGGCCTTGCACAGCTTCAGAAGTGGGTAGACATATTGTCTGTTTTACCAGAGTGTAATCCAAGGAGGTGAAGATGTGATGGTTAAGGTTTGTAAACGGGTGGTACAATCCAAGGACACTTTGGTACAACTGGTATTGTTGGTGAAGGGTAGGTCATGAACCTCAGTCGAAGAAAATGTTTACTACTGGATAATCTGAGAATAACGCATGCCCGGAATCCCCTACTGGCCATCTATTGCTGCTTATCTGTATACTCAAGGAGTCATGGATTTCATAGGACTAAAATTTTAATATAGCCTTGGACTTTGTTTGACCGAGTGTAGTCTAAACCAGGGGGTCTTTGGGACTATAAATCCCCCGAGCGTAAGGCTAGAAGGCAATTCGGCGTGCTTCACTATTCAGGTTAGATCTGGTTCAGTACCCTGTCGCCCGATAGTGCGACAGGGGCATTTCATGATCGCCAAAAGCACCCTAGATATGAGGCTCTACATTTGAATACGGCTATTTCAATTGAAATCGTAAATTCCTAATCCGGGATAGTACACTTGCTTCGTGCTTTTACGGCTAAGTTTCGCATTCTTGGCCTAGGCATTGACCATACGTGCCCTGTCCACACGAATTCGAGAAAAGGACAGCTCTTCGATTCCTGCTCTATCTCTCGGAAGTTCTGCGCTTTATGCCCGAAACATTCACATTCTTTTGAGAGCACTGATTTTTACATCGGTAATTACAATAATTCAAGGTATTCCAGTTTAGTCTTTGTCCACAAGCTAAGGGCTCCTGATGGATTTTTAATGCAAGGTCCATGCTAGAATCCAAGACTACCGGCCGGTAGGTCCGACCCGGTAGCTGAGATCAGGTCGAGATCACAGTTTATGATTAAAATCGGTTAAATTCCAATTTTTACCATCTCCCTCATCAAAGGCTACCTGTTTCCTTGGCAATATGAGACTTTAATTTAATCAGCGCCAGCCGGGCCGAACATATCATGGCGACTTGATACTCACTTCCGCAGATGTATAGTTCACTCCCGCAGATTTTTTAGTCCTAATTTCTGCATAGTTCGGTGTAATTCAATGAAGTTTCTTGTTTGGATATAAACCCTATCACTATACTGTTCACCCCTCCCAATAGGAATAAAGGCCAACGTGGCCCTGTGTGAGTGATTCCTTATCAGCACCCACCACAGACGGCTCAGCCACGCCCCACGCCACAGATGATGGTTGGCGCACTATATATTAACACACACAGACACATGTCCCACACAGCCTGTTTGTTTTTTTAGCGTCAGCAAGTTGAACCGGGCAAGATAAATACCAGCACCCTACGCCACCACTCATCCACGCATTTACCCACATCCACGCCATGAACAGTGAATACGACTACCTTTTTAAATTATTGCTTATCGGCGACTCCGGTGTCGGGAAGTCGTGTTTGTTGTTGCGTTTTGCTGATGACACGTACACCCCCGACTACATCTCCACCATCGGGGTCGACTTCAAGATTAGAACTATCGAGCTCGATGGCAAGACCATCAAGTTGCAGATCTGGGATACTGCTGGCCAGGAGCGGTTCAGGACCATCACCTCGTCGTACTACCGCGGCGCGCACGGGATCATCATCGTGTACGACGTCACCGACCAGGAGTCCTTCAACAACGTCAAGCAGTGGTTGCAAGAGATTGACCGCTACGCTACCGGTGGGGTCATGAAGTTGTTGGTTGGGAACAAGTCCGACTTGACTGATAAGAAGGTCGTGGACTACGCCGTCGCGAAGGAGTTTTGCGAGTCGTTGGACATGCCGTTCTTGGAAACATCTGCCTTGTCGTCCACAAACGTCGAGCAGGCTTTCTTCACCATGGCCAGACAGATCAAGGCCCAGATGGCTAACTCACAGTCCGCGAACGCCGCCTCCAACAACGGCAAGGCCAACGTCAACTTGAGGGGCCAGTCCATCGCCGCCTCCACCAGCAGCTCCTGCTGTTAGCTACCGCATAACCGGAGCCGCACGGTGGCGGTTCCTCCCTAATACGAGTCCCATTTTCCTTCTCTTTTATATGTTTAATACTAGGTTTTGTTAAACGGCTGAAGGGTGTGTAGAGGTAGGTGAATTGAAGCGAAGCATGGTGCAGATGCCGTCTCAGGACGGTGTAGTTGGCTATGTGCTACAATGGGCCTACAGATAACAATAAGAGTTTAGGAAGGTACCTTGAACAAGTGCAGTTATAGCTCGAGCCCCAACTGGTTTTCTGGGAGAGGAGCTCAAGAGGCTGTTCAATCATTCAGAACAATTTCGGTTTTGACTGTGGGCACATGGTTGCATGCATGTTGTGTGGGTAATTAGGTATGGAGAGTCCCGATGGAAGGCAGACAGAGAAGATAGAGCATTAATTGAGTAAAAGCCAAAAATCAACAATGTTTTGACATAGTCGGTATGTTTCCTATCGATACCACATTGATGGGTATTTAATGCTAGGAAAAGCTTCAGAATAACGATTAAGTACGCTCAATTTGTCTCGCTTCTGCGTTCTTAATCTCTAACTAGAAGCTCATCGAAATTGTACCCTTAACTACTGTAGCCTGGGGAAGTGCGCAAGCTTTATGGCCGTGTTCATTGGTTTTACAGTTTTACATATACGTGTCGCTGGTATAAGAACTGTGCTGAATATTGGCATAATTATTTTACTAAAATCATTGTAATATACTATTTTGGTGAGTAACTCTACGTTTAAGCACTTGCTCTTAATCTCCCATATATAAACTATATTTGACGTCATAACCTACTGGGAGGTCAGGCCCTGCATTGATACACTTTGTGTCACCTTAGAAGTACCCACCGGGGAGGTCATGCCGTCCCCCATCCTCCAAGGAATCCAGGAGCATAATAAAGGTGTCTGAAATAATTAAGCCTTGTGTTTCAATTACCATATAATTAATATAGAAAAAGTGTATGACTTACTACTGCCCATTTTAAATCCCTTACGGTCCCACTTAGGCGGTTGTCACCCTTTCCCACCTGCCCATTTGGTTGCTCAGAACAGGGGTGGATATTCTTCTGTAGGCCTGGGCTCTGGTCTCCTCTCAGGTTGCTGCCATATACAGCAACTAACCCGCGGGTGTGTAGCTGCGGCGCTCCGATAACGTCACTTTTTAGCAGGGGAGACGCAGACTGCATGCAGCCACTAATTAGCTGCCGTCTCCAGCGCCTATCGCCATGAGAGCTGACCCCCACGGTTTGGTGCAACTCCAGAAACCTCTACTAATTGTAGGTACAGAGACGTCTAGATCTCAACTGAGTTAAACATTATACCCAAAGTTTTCACCTCCAGTTTCAAGATAGGTTACAAACATAAAAGTCAAAGTCTGTGGCCCTGAATTCGAAACTCTTACTAATAGCCAAGTTAGTATCCGAGTGACTCCGCTTTTCCGCACCTTTCATATTCACACCTCTTGCTATGGGTATTCCGTATCAAGAGTTCTACCGGTTGACTCCGAAGCGCCACAAGCTTTACCGGTGCTCGACATGCCACGCTGATCTCCTCTTGCCGAGCCACATCATCTCCGATAACTTTCAAGGGGATCACGGTAAAGGGTTTTTGGTCGACTTCAAGAAGTTGTTGAACGTGGAGGTGATACCCCCACACCTTTTGTGCCAGTCCAAGCGTCGCGGCTCTGTCAATAACGAGCCTAGTACCAGTGCCTGCGAAGCGGATGTCTTGTCAGACGCCTCCGACTCCGATGACGGGGTGTGCCACTGGGGAAACGGCATAAAGGAAGTAAAGATGACAACAGGTACTTATCTAATCACAGACATCGAGTGCGCCTTGTGCAAGACAAAGATCGGCTGGAAGTATTTGAGAGCCGTGAATAACCCGGATAACCTGTATAAGGAAGGCAAGTGCCTTGTGGAACGGGCGCTTATTGAGTTGGTGGACGGCCTTTCCGATTGCTCTGCCACTCCGCGAAAGATAGATGACGAGGCGGATTTCATTAAAGCCGAAATGGCCAAGGCCAGAGCTCGGCTGTCGATTTCTACAGGCACGGGATACTGGATGGACGTCGAACGTCGCCACGGAAGCGGCAGCATTGCGGTCCCGAGCTTTACATCGCACGAGGTAAGTGGCTCGTTTATCCAGATTGTAAACTTGGGCTTTCCCACCCGGAGACATGGATTATCCAGAGCCGAGAGAATCAGGAATTTTCTCGAGTACACTGAACGCGGGCCCGTACGATTTGAAGAATAGCCCCAGAGTTGGCAAGTCCCGCCTGCTTATGGTCCTTGTTATTTGTACCCTCTCTAGCTTTTAACGACTCAATAAACGATAACCTTGTGAAACGGGATATGGAAGAGTATCCGGCGTGTAATGCTTCTAGATTAGTTGAATCGAAATTCCAAACTCGAAGAACGTATGAGTAGCTCTTTTTAGCAGAAATCAAATTGGGGTGGCAGAGCCGGAAACAGACATCGATGTCCACCTATCTGCACTAAACAAAGTTTACATTCTGTGATCCACCGAGGATTATACCCTAGTAGGTATTGGCGTTGATCAAGGCTAATATCACTAACTCTTCGTTTCCGCTGCCTCCTTTACCTACACATTAATCCTAAAGGCGTTGCGTTATTAACACACTATGTACATTTAATTATTTTTACAGGCAGTGGTGGCTCACCACTTGAACCACCCGCTCGGCTTATTTCTGATCTTGGTGGAGTTGTCCAACCCGAACCACGGTCTCTTTCTGAGCTCCTTCTCTCTGTTTTCCCACACGATTCTCTTAGTCGTCTGTGTGGTTTTGAGGATGGCTCTGACGTGTACGTATCTGTGTCTGATGATCCCCATTCTTCCTCTCCCCTTCGGGTCGAGCCTCTTCTGCCAGCTCCCATCACTACCGACCCAGATCTGGTCGACGTAGCAGTCGTCCGGGTTCAAGTTCATCTTAGCAGCGTGAGTGATACCGGTCTCCAATAAGTCACCGATCGGCTTAGACACACGCTTGGTGTTGAAGTGGCACTGGGTGATGGCGTCTTTGAGGGACAAGCCGCCCAACATTCTGTTGACAAGCGTGGTCTTCTTCCAGGTGGACTTGATACGGAAGGACTTGAGGTAGATGGATGGTTCGACCGCGTTGATCTCCTCAGCGGTCAACTTCAACTTGTAGCTCTTGCCGCCCAACTTGACGGTTTGGTTGTTCTTGAAGAAGCCGTTGATGCGGACGTTTTCCTCGTACAACTGCTTCTTCAATGGGGTCAAGTAGGTTTCGGCGTTGATCACCACTTTCGGCGCCTTGAATTCCAAGGCTGCTGTGTCTAAATGCATTGGTGGAAGGTCGTCGGAATCAACTCTCTTCTCGTCAGCCGCGGCCTCCTCCACGACGGCCGCTGGCTTGGCGCCAACATCCGCAAACAACGATTTGCTCACGGCAGCCTGGTGGAAGAACTTCTGTGCTACCGGGGCTCTGCCCAAGAAGTGCAATGAGTTTAATCTGAACATGCTGCGGTCAAACGTTTCTCTAGCTGCTAAGTGTCACGCTTCGGTTTGCTTAATATCATTTTTCACGCCGAAAAGTGAAAATTCCTGGCGTTACCCGGTGGGTTTGTGATCGGTAGACGCACGATGGAAAATTCCTGCACTTAATAGGTTTTTTTTACATAAATTTTTTGCTAAATAAATGCAGTATCGATGGGCTTGTAGCTCTAATTTGCACAACAAGATGGGCGAACCTAAGGAATTAAAGAAGGAAAGAAAGGAAAAGATGGTGGAGGATGCTACCAAGGTTGAAAAGAAGGAGAAGAAGGAAAAGAAGGAAAAGAAAGAAATGAAAGAAAAGAAGGAAAAGTCCAAGGACGAACCTGACGCTGAAAAAAGGTCCAAGTCCAAGCGCACTGCCTCGGACGAAATCACCATCGATTTGGCTCAGGAAATCCCACTCTCCAAGAAGCATGCGAGAATGTTAAAAAAGGGCAAGATCACCATCGAGGAAATCAAGAAGGAGTTGGGCTTGACGGAAAAGCCTAAAAAGGACGACAAGGAAGTCAAGCTCGATGCCGACGGTAATGAAATCGAAGCCGAAAAGAAGCCAGCCAAATCTGAGTTCGGTGTGTGGATCGGTAATATGACCTTTGATACCACCAAGGAAGACCTCATCAAGTTCATCGTCTCCAAAACCACAGACTTTGCCAGAATCGAGACCGTCTGCAACGACGCAACAGCGCGTGCGCTCATCACCGAAGACGACATCACCAGAGTCAATTTGCCAATGAAAGAGCGTAAGATTAAGGGGTTTGCTTACGTTGACTTCAAGACCGCTCAGCACATGAACGCAGCCATTGCCATCTCCGAGGAGAACTTGCTTGGCCGTAAGTTGTTGATCAAGAACGCCAACTCGTACGAGGGCAGACCGAAGAAAGATCCGCTCGCGGGTTTGTCCAAGAACCCACCATCCCGTATCTTGTTTGTGGGTAACTTGTCTTTTGACACCACCAAGGAGTCGTTGGAGACCCACTTCCAACACTGCGGTGAGATCTTGAAGATCCGTATGGCCACCTTCGAAGATACCGGTAAGTGTAAGGGGTTCGCATTCCTCGACTTTAAGGACGAGGTTGGGCCAACCAAGGCCTTGCAGGATAAGGCTTGCCAGCGCATCACCAACAGACCTCTCAGAATGGAGTTTGGGGAAGACAGGTCCAAGAGAGTGCCAAACCACCACAAGAAGGCCCAGGAAGAGGCTCAGGCTGTGCGTGAGGCCAGATCCGAATCATTCATCCAGCCCCCAAGAGAGAGGTATGTCGAACCAGTCTACACCGCCCCGGCCTTTGACGCTGAGAGAAAGCCAAAGAGACCAAGACCAGAAGGCTTCTCCCGCAGCAACCACGACAGCTACAAGAGAGTCAAGTCCTCCATCGCCTTGGCTGGCGCCCAGAGAGCCAGTGCGGCGATTGTACCTTCCGCCGGTAAGAAGGTCACCTTCTAAGGTCTGTGTATTTTGTATAGTAGTCAAGGCATGTCCTATGAAATATTTAAATGGTGTAAGTAATTTGGCATAGTATGAGGGGTTGATTCTTAGGCAGTATTTAGTGTATTCGGGTAAGATACAGGCAATTCTATTAGTCAATGTATTTTATGTCCAGTGAAATAACCCTAGTAAAAGTGCCTTACCTTAATCCATGTCCCCGTGCTATAGACGTCTTAATAGGCTATAGTACAGACCGTGTAGCCTCTAGAGAACACTCTCAGAAGGCCCATAAATGGCGTTTCACAGCTTGCTCTCCATTATTTGCTTGCTAGGAACCTTGAATAAGTCTACAATAATTTTAACGAGCTGGTGTTTCTATGGAAAATTAAAGGTTACAGGGCCCATTTCAGCTAAAACGCACAAATCACGATTCTTGCCACCGGGTGCCGATCGCGAGCAAAGTGGCTCTGTGAAACATCCACTATCGCAAATACTCTAGGTATTATTTTCCACTCATACGCCAACGTCTGATAGTAGAACCGATGATATTGCAAGAAATGAAACAGCACGCGGGGGGGAAGGAAAAAGGCAAGAGAAAAAGAAAGCAATCAGGAAAGATGGAAAACAGACGTAAAACAACAAAAGTAAACATGAAAGGGGAAAGCAAATAGCAAAATTAGATGGAAAGGCGGACAAAAAGGCGTCGGGAATAGACAGAAAGTACAGATGTGGAAAGGCACATGAGCCAGGACTAGCCTCAGTGCCTATGAGGGTGGTGATAGTAACACACTGGTTTAATCGGACAAGTCTTCGCTGAAGGTGGCACGACTGCCGTTCTTCTTCTTGTAGGCGGACGGCGGTCTCTCGGTGTCTAAGGCATCACCATAGCCGTACTCACCGCTGGCGTTCGGGTCATATGCGTAGCCGTGGTTACGCCCTCCAGCGTACTCCTCGTTATCGTGCTCGAAGATTGCGCTGTGCCCATTGTGGTCGTCGCTGTAGTACTGCTGCTCGGAGTAGCTGCGATTGGTGCCTTGGTTCCACACGGCGTCAGGCCCGTCTGGATCCTGCTCATAAGTATCCGGGCTAGGCTGGTGCTCTCTGGATGGATTGCGCAACGGCACATCATCAGGGGCTATCGCAGCACCGGCGAAAGTACCTCCAGCAAGAGCACCGCCATAGCGAAGGTTGGAGGCACTGGTCTGGGAGGTTGACGGGTATCTCTGTTGCGCCGTCAGGTCCTGGTAGTTGGAGTTGGTGTATCGACTGGAGCCCACGGAATTTGAGTGATGAATATCGGTGACGCCCCTGTATGAGTCCGCTGGCTGGGTCTTCTGGAGCTGCTGGGCCGCAAAGGCAGCAGTGCCACCCATCGCCAAGTTCTTGTGGTTGTTAGAGTTAATGGAGATAGGGTGGTTGAAGGTATCGTCGCGGTCCAAGTTGGTGAGGTAGCCCTCCTTCTCGTAGTTATCGGCAGGGAGAACCTCCGCAGCAGCGTCATCCAATTCGAACTGCGACTTCTTCTTGCGCTTATATCTGCGGAAAAGGAACAACGCTAGGATTATACAGAAGGCACCAACCACACCACCAACCACACCACCCACAATGGCGCCGGTGTTGACGCTCTTTTTGGTGGAACTCTTGATGTTGAAGGTGGATTGGTAGAATGCGTAGTCCGTTGTGATTGCAGCAGTCATGGCAGCAGCCACGGAGGATGGCACCTGAGTTCCCGACAACGTGAAGACTGTGTTCGTGGTAAGCTGTGTGGAAATTGTGGTCTGGGAGTCGGTGATAATGTAGTGCTGGGTGTAGCCCTCGGTGGTGGCAACCGTGGGGAGCCCTGTGTCAGAGGAGGTTTCGGTGGTGGTCACTAGGTTGGTCAATGTCACGTTTCCGTCGCCTTTAGAGGTTGGAGCAGAGGTGGGGGTGGTCGAGGAAGTGGTCGAAGGAGTGGTCGTAGGGTTGACCATAGAGGTGGTCGTGGGGGTGGTTGTAGCAGGAGTAAACGCGGCAGATGTGGTCACGGCCAGTACAGCTGATGTAGCTGTTGTTTCAGGCGTACTGACTGGAGCAACAGTCAGTTCTGCAGTTGAAGCAAAGGTGTCGGTGGCTGGGGTGGTAGTGGTGGAAGTCTCTGGAGTGATGGTAGGGCTGGTCACCAGTTCAACTGGGGCAGTGGTGGCAGAAGTGGCTGGGTTGGCCACGCTAGCAGTAGAGACGGGAGCGGTGGCAGAGTCTACTGTAGCCGATGTCGCGGTAGTGGCTCCAACCACACCTGGGGTCGAGGCGGCGGCAGTGGCAGCACCGACAACAGCGGCACTTGCAGTGGTGGAAGCGACTGCAGCCAGACCTGTAGCGGCGACAGCAGCCGGATCTGTAGCGGCAACAGCAGCTGGGTCTGTAGCGGCAACAGCAGCTGGGTCTGTGGTGATGGCGGCGGCTGGAACGGCGGCAGACATGGTAGTATAAAAAGGTGTTATCTAGTAACCTTGGTTGTGATAGGCTTAAGTTCTCGGGCTTTAGCAATCAGTAATGCCCATACAATGAAAAGAGAGAGAAAGGCTAAGGCGAAAGAAAAACGCTTGGTAGATCGGCCTAGGGTCTTTGGAGAGAGGAGCTACATTTTGGTACCCGTGCAGAGCCAACTAGCCATTGAAACAGGGGAATTGCGAGGCGAACGTCCATGCGCCTGGATCGCGGGAAGTTCCAGTGCGTTGCTGGCCGACCATCGACCAACAACACGCGTCTCTAGCCCGATCGGGTAATTCTCGGTCAGTGTACGACCACGTGCATACTCTTCGGAAACCAGCAGCACCCACCTCCATGGCTCGGGTCCCTCAGTTGCATTAGCCTGCACATGATGGGGTTCACTATTTACGGGTATTAATCTAAACGATGTTTTTTTTCGGCTTTTTGGTGACTGCGAGACTCGAAGACTTGTCCGTTGCATATGTGTTTGCAATAGGAAAATTTTGCATGTCAACAAACATGCGTGCGCACGATGACGACAGAGGCGGACCTATATAGAGCACAGCTTCCAAGAGCCTTCTCACTCCGATGAAACAGACGCTTTGGTAAAGAATCTAAAGCGATCTCAAGGGTGGCTTCGAATATGTTATTGTTCGAAAGGATACAACTTGGTGTATGAGGCTACATGGTGTACAAATGGCAATAGTCGATTGTAACAGCCAGCAGCTCTCAAAGGAATGTACGATACAGACACAGATTGCCTAAATGAGGCGGCCCACCTTGTTAAAGCGACAAATTATTACAGATATAGGCTCACTCCATTATAGGTGGTCAATTAGCTGGAAAAATAGACAGATTAATGTCGGCGTGGCTTAGATATTGATGGAGCCCTGAACAAGTAGTGAGCGACGCAGGATGTAAAGGCCATATCGGACTAAGTCGAACTGCGAGTGCATAGAGTGGTACGAGAGCCCTCGCACGGAGAGGTGTTGACAAAATAGTACCAGGCCTCGGTTAGATTAAAATTGTGCCTCAGATAAAGAGTGCGATAATGTGAGATTTTGCCGATTCTTTTAGTCTCCCTCGAGAGCTACGATTTTCTGAAACATAAACGGGTAGATGTATGAATGCCTGTTTCATCTCCAGACATGTTGCTAGACGAACCTCAGCCCTCACTGACCAGTATCGGCCCAAACTTCAACGGCAATGTAACACTTATATAAACCAGGAGTGCTGAAACAATGCTTGGTAGCTTAAATTTAGCCCTTTTGACGGCACTCCAAGGAGAATTTAATAACGTACGAGGAGCTTGGTGCCTCACTGGCCATATATGTCGATGATGGTTTGTTAGATTCACTTTGGAATTTTGTCAAAGAGGGAATTTGATATAATTCTATCCATTTTACTATACTTAGATTAGATTCCTCTTGTGTTGCTAGTGATCTTAGGTTTCTCCTATATGACTCTCTTTGATATCTTTGAAATAGTCATAGGTGCACCATCGATTGTAGTTTTATGTGAAAACCGGGTCATTTTTCAACTCTGTTCGCTCCAGGTATCTATACTCCTCTGGTTTTAAAAGTATTATCGAGTTTCGTAGCTGACGCGTTCTATTAATACATTGGCTTATACATGACCCCAGTTTTCTTCGAAACCATTTGGTCATTATATACGAGTGACAGGATTCAAACATGGGCGCGGGATCGCAGTTTAATCAAAAGCAAATCACCAGTCCCTACGCGAATCTCACTACATTTCAGCACCAATAATAAATAACCAAATAGTTAACAGAATACCATATGTATAAAGGATAAAAACGTCCCGCCGCACGGATACACAACGGGAATATGACGTTGACAAAAATGCAAATTGAGATCATGTCGTGAAAATAAATAAGCAGCGTCCCGTTCCGGCTCTGCAAGGGTACAGTGGACGGTCGTATCCAGCATGCCCAAGCCTTCTCCGGAGCATCGGTGAGTCCACCTGTACCGCTGTGATTATCTACGGTATGGTGGAATCCTAATCTCTCCTCTGGTACTACCATGCACGCCCCAGGCGCCTGAAACAGTCTAAAGATGTGAAAGTTGACCCCTTCGGCACCATACTCCAGTGAAGCCTTAATTATCGTCGTAGCCGACCAAAGAAGCGTCTCTGGCTCTGTTTGGCAATGGGTATTCTGCCGGGACGGCCGCGACGTCTTCAAACAAGAACTTCTTTCTCAACGGAGTGAAGCCGAATAAGAACACCGGGATCAAGACCCCCATGGCAGATGGGAAGAACAAGTTAGGCTTCTTATACGCGTAGTAACGACACCACTAGAGACATGTTAGTTGCATGAAGAAGGGAGGCAATATGAGTGAGGAAACGTACCTTGAAAGGGTTCTTGTAGTAAGCTGGTTTGTGTGGATCAGGGTGCGGTTCAGACATTGCGTATAGGTATAATACTTGGTCTAGGGTGGGCACTACGTGTTTCCTCCAGGTCTATCACGTTGATATATCCCATTAGAACGGATTTTTCCTGAGGTACAAATCGTACATGAACACCACTGTCATTGGATGGATTTTAGGAAAAACGCACGGAAAAAGACAGTTGTATATGTGTGGGGCACTACCTCGCTGGTTTCTCAGAACCACCTCACTAATATCTAAGCTCCGGCGAGTCAGATAGTTTTACTAATCTCCGACGAATCAGATGATTTTATTGACCTCCTTGAGACAAACTTGGAGGATGGGACTCACGACCGGGATTGTTATCTCCTTGAGACCCCTAAGTCTACATTTGAAATCACGAAGCGTTCACAGAAGCAAATGCACATGTTAGAGTCATATCTGTTTCAAAACAGGAAAAGGGAGAACCTAACTGGTAACCTAGTTCTTAGCCTTGCTCTTCTTGGTGGCCTTGGACCCAGAGGCCTTGGCAGAGGAAGAGGTGGTGGCGTCGACTTCTTCGACGGTCTCAACCTCACCCTGTGCGGCCTTCTGCTGGGCTTCCAACGCAGCTTCGTCCGCATAGAACTTTGCCTTTAACTTGGCGTCCTCCCATTGGGCGTAGTACAAGCCACCCTGCAATACCAAGATCCCAACATAAATGAACACGATGAACACCTCGGACGCAGCGATGACGTTGATTCCGGTTCTCTCGTCCACGTCGCCCCATTCACCAACAATGGCCGACTGCACACCGATGCGCATATTGGTCAAGTAGAAGATAACCCCCGCCATGTAGAGCCCCAAGGTCCCGTACTCGAACATCTTCGCATCTGGATTAGGCTTGTACAATTTCACAAACATTCCGAGGAACCCCAAGGCCATGACCCCGTGGAGGATGTAGTGGACAAAGTTTGGCGAGTTCCCCCAGAGCGCGTAATGAGCGACGGAGCGGGCAACAGCTTCGTCACTATAGGTGCCGCTCCAGAGGGTCTGGAAGTCGTATGGCAAGTTGCCGTAGATGGCACCGAGGGCAAAACAAGTGGAGCCAACCACAACAGCATTGGCTGGCGGAATAATAACTTCGTAGAAACTCATTTTAATGTATTGGGAGCGATGATTGGGAAAGAACGGTCGAGATGCGGAGGCAAAAGCGTTTATCTATTATGCGGAAAATTATCGCACTGACCCTCGTCCGGAGCGCTGACGCTACGGCGTTCTAAACCTCCTGCGGCTCGCTTATCATGAGTGGCATACGGAAACTCCTGGCGGAGGCTGGCAATAATTAGGTGTGCCGTTCATGACATTTTGTATTAGCTGGGCTCAGAATTATAAGGTATATGGCATAATCTGACTATTAGTCTATGTCAATGTATGGCGTTTTAAAGGCATCGCCTGTTAGGTATACGTTACCTGTTAAGTATACATTGTGTCGCACGAGGGTTCATTTACATGCAAAGCCAGTCTATGAGCTAAGCGAGCACAGCTATGGTTATAGCAGGAGAGCAAAATCAGAATGATTAGCACAAGTATCATACTCAATAACCTTCAAGTAACTAGGCCAATGTGGGATGAGGATAATGTGACACGGCTGTGTGGATGACGTATTTAACACAATGTCGAGACTCTCAACGGCCCGACGCAGGGTGGGAATCCCGCCCCGAACCATATCATTCATCTGGCATCTACGTTATGTTTGTTAAAAAAAGATTTATTTTATGATTTCAAAGATGCACCGTAGCACGTTATATAATTCAGAGAAACGATAAAATTTAAGCGTCAGCGGCAACTGGAGCTTCTTCTTCAGCAACAACTGGCTCGGCAACAACCTTGTGGTTCTTGACGAATGGAGCTGGAACAGCGGATTCCTCCTTTGGTTCCAAAACCTTGACCAAATCTGGCAAGGCTCTTGGGCCGGTTCTGGCGGTTTCTGGGTCTCTCATAATCTTGACCTTGATCCCCAAAACACCCTGCTTCAACAAGACGTGTCTGGTGGCGGTGTCAATGAAATCGATGGCTGGCTGACCGGAGTGGATCATGAAACCGTCGGCGAACTTCATAGACTTGGCACGGGCGGCTCTGAGCTTACCGGAGATAACGACTTCAACACCCTTGGCACCGGCTTCCATGACGAATCTAACGACACCGTAAGCGGCACGTCTGATGGCCAAACCATTGAGCAACTTGTATCTCAAGGATTCACACTGGGCGACAGCGGACAAACCTCTGTCCTGGACTCTTTCGGCGTACAAGACAATGGTACCTGGCTGGAACTTGAATCTCTTCTGGACCAACGAAGTCAACTCGTGGATACGGCGACCGTTCTCACCCAAGACAGCCTGGGTGTGGGTGGCTCTGATAATAACTTCAGTCTTGGTAGAAGTGACTCTGACCTCAACACCAGCGTAACCTTCCTCGGCCAATTCACGGGTGAAGAATTCGTTCAATTCAGCGTAGAAAACACCGTCAGCGACGATCTTTCTCTTCTTGGAGATAATAGCAACCATTTTGTATATAAGATTTGTGATTCAAAGAGGATAGGATGAAAAAAGGTTGAGAATCTGTTTTCTAATATAACCTTGCCGAAAGTGGAAAATTTTTGGCGCGCCAGGCTGAAAAAAACGCCGACAGCTCACAGCGACAGCCGGGTAATTGCATGCAAGATCAAAGCCAGGAGTTTTTCGTGACTGTTTTTTGTAACGGTGAAAAGTACCAGGATAATGACCTGTATACAATGGCTTATATCACGTGTGGCAGCATCGAGATTTGTACCAGAATATACAAGGTGAGGTGGTCAGGCTAAAGACCTCACTCTCGGGGCTAGTTTGGCGTGGGTAGTCTCAATTTGATTTCCTGTTATTTCAAGCTTAAATATTCTGCGGTAGCTTTCTAACGCCCGTTTCTTAAACAATAAGAGTAATAAGAGCAATAAGGGTGGAAGGTAAATAAAAATTATCGCTTTCTGGGAAATTTTGAATCCCTTGGCTTGACAATGAGTAGCGACCCCGATAGCTTCTCATAATATAAGAGCGGATATTGACACCCATTACCCTAAACTTTATAAGGTACCATAGAAGTTTCAGGTTTTGTGCCCCTCATGCCAACATAGGATTTTACTCGCTGTTTTTAGTTTATTCAACGGTATGGTGATGAAAAGGCTAAACTAGAAAGATTATGTAAAAAAATAAACTGCAAAATAGAATGGTATTGATAAAACCGGATTTCTACTTAAGAAATATGAATGGACTAGCCACTGCTCGCATATTTAACATGCCACCATCTGCTTTTTAAGTATGAGCTTTTATGGTAAAAGAAATCCAATGGGTCTACGCGTGTGTATTTAAATACCGCTTGTCTGGGTTGTATGAGCATAAGAACGTCGGCTATTTACCCATTATTTTCAAAATTTAATCTCTCTGCCGATTTGGGGTTAAGGGTGCGGCATACAATACTTTCACCATTCTAATTACACAAACCCACACTGAAGCCGCTGTTATCAACGGTGCCAACAGTGCTAGTTTTCTGGGTATCGTTTTAGCTTCCTTGGCCTTTAAATAATCCAGGAAACCAGGAAACAATTCCTGGTTACTAATGTTTAATCTCTTTTTTATCCTTTTTATTTATTTGACCTTCACTATTCTAATTATAATGGCGTTTTTTTTTGACATTTTTACTCCTCATAGTGTATACTCCTCCAGTTTGGATGACCTTTGTATCTGAAAATAATCTTCCTGAAACCCCGAATGTTAAATAAAAGCCATTTGTGTTTAAAATAGGTAAGCTTGTATACCCATTAACTTAATTTTAGGTATTTTTTTTAATCAGATGAGAACCCCTGGGTGGTTCTCTATAAATATTTAATATTCGCTGCCAGATATAAAAGGAACACGATCGTAGACCCATACTATCGTGCATAGCGGTACTCCTTCTACAATATCATGGCATCACATTTCATTCAGATAACCGTATTCTAAAGCTCTAATTCAGGCCAAAGATGAAAACTACGTAACAAATCGCTACTCATCCTCTTCCTCATCATCTCCCTCACCGAGCCTGCTATTTAGTAACCCCTGAATAAGGAAGGCTTGCTCTGTCTTCAAGCCGCTTGTCAATCCTAGTTCGAAGCTCTCATTGACAGACCGCTTGGTGTTGGCGATAGCGATCGGAGACATTCCACTGATCCTATAGGCCAAATACAATGCCCCTTTCATTAAGTCTTCATAATCATCATAGAGCTTAGCAACAAGTCCTCTGTTATTGGCCTCGACAGCTCCGAACATGTCCCCTGTGAGAACAAGCTCCATAGCTCTGGACTTACCCATAATCTGGGTAAACCGCTGGGTTCCTCCTCCCCCCGGAATGATACCTAGCTTTATCTCAGGTTGGCCGAAACGAGTCTTCTTGGTGGCCAAAATAATGTCACAGCACATGGCAAGCTCACAGCCGCCCCCAAGCGCAAGCCCTTGCACTGCAGCTACCATAGGCTTCAGGGTGCGGTAAATTTTGTCCCACGTGCCCAAATGCATTCCCTTCTGGTTTAAAACATCCTCGCTGGAAAGCGTTAACATGTATTTAATATCTGCTCCTGCGGCAAACACCTTCAGCTCGGGCGAGCCGGCGAGAATAATGCAGCGAATCTCTGGGTTCGAGTCTGCAGCTTGGAGGGCGTGGCAAATCTCAAGCAAAACCGCTGGGCTCAACGCGTTAAGGACTGCTGGGCGGTGGAGCTCGACCAATCTGACTCTTTCAAGACGGGTGGAGGCTCTTATGTATTGGTAGCTGTGGGGGTTAGATACTTCCAGCATGTCACAGCGGTGTTAGTGTAAGTATTCGGGACTCTGCGCCAAAGTTCAATTAGACGGTACCCCGAGGAAGAATAATTAGCGTGGGGAAATTGGCCGTATATACATAACAGTTGGGAAGTGACCCCTTCACTCTGAAAAAACGTCTTTATCAGAGCTGTAGTTTAAGCCTTTTATTTAAAATGCGGGGAATTGCGGCTGCACGGATTTCGTTTATCACCCTCTGTGTATACACGGCCGTAAGCGGATACAGTGACGATTGCCACGCATTGACAAGAATTGCTCAGGTAAACGGTACTCGGGTATTTGCGCAAGTATTCTGAAATAATTTCCGGTGGTTCTCTTGTCCTTGCGACTTACTTAGTTTGTCATGGGAAGCTGCTCATAGGACAGTGAAATGGTAACAAGGGTAGGCGGCCGCTTATATCCGCTTGACGTACCTCGGCCGCCCACAGGACTAGAGTTACAACGGGTGGTGAAAAGAGGGATATTCCTTGGGCACAGGATATTTTCGGCTACACTGCATACAGACCAATAAATTACAAAATCGTGTGCAGCACTATGTATTACAAAATGACAGTGTCTATTCCGCATACATATTCATGTATATGAATCCCCCTATACGCAATATGGTGTAATTCAACAGAGGTCAGAATTTAGATATAGATATGAATATCTGTATATATCTGTATATCTATTTAGAGTAAATAATGCGTTACTAAGCCATGCTATATAGTTCTCGAATTTATTAATTAATTATATAGTATTCCGATAATAGTAAATAATTGATAAAATATTAGTATATGTACTAAATATTATCTCCATATAAATCAACGATAGATGAACAAATCTAGATTCGGTAAGCTACATAGAATATTCATGAGAAATAGATTCAAACAAGAACCATACCTTTTCGAAGGAGACGTAAATATATACCAACGTGTTTCTATATACCCATTTAATTTCCTGAATCTACGCCATGACGAAAAATTGTATGCATAACACCCCAAAACTGGATATGGTCAGTTTATGTGAATATTATTATCCTGTATTTACTTTTTCATATAGCACGTGTGCAGTTCCCCTCTTAGGTGAGTGAGTATAGTGTGCATCGGCGATGTATCACTGAAACTATCTATCAGGAATCAAATTCTTCACTAGCCTTTGTTTACCTGACACAATCTTGTCCCCGGCAATAAATAGTACTTACTATTCTTGAGAAAAGTCCGGTGCTCAAGATTGTACTACAGGCTATCTAACAATATGTATCTACGTCTTACGAGTTACCCGTAGAAACGCCTGAAACTTTCACAAGTCAGTAGGTTATATCATCTACAAAAGCAAATCAAACTTGAATATTTCAGCGGAACCCCTAATTTCTACGTAGTTCTAGATGCTTCGTAACAGCCGTCATAAACGCGTCCAGCTTGAACTACAATGCATTGTCAGTCGAACGTACGTGATCAGGACCTTGCAGGGATTGAAAGGGTCCCAGAAATGGGCTAGTCTTGTCCCCATCGGGCCTTTTCTTAGCCTTCGCAAACTATATCTTGAACTAGTTTCGGCCATCTCGAAACTACTTTATTTACAAAACCATTCATGATAAAACCTAGGTTTGCAATGATAGAGCGAGCTTGGTTCTATGTGCTTTCCCGGTTAGACTTTCAACCATAATTCCTAGCCCAATATAAGAGCGGAAACTAGCTATAGAAAGGTCTAGAAGTTTGTAAGCCATACATCGCACCTTCCTCTACAAATTCCAACGGAACTTAATCCGCGTTCCAGTACTCCCAGTAATCGGACAAGACAGTCATACCCATGCCCCTTCGATAATTTCTTTTGGATACCCCCTTTAAGCACTAGTGCTGTGTTTTTGTTTTCTGACTTATAGCGCGTGCCTTACCTAACCTCGCAGGTTCGGGGTGTTGACCTTTTTCTTTGTTGGTGTTTTCCCCTGTGCTGGCCCTAGAGGGGTGACCACGGACCCACTCCAGGGATTCCCCTAGCCCGGGAGTGGGGGGCACATGGCAGATGCACCGGTTTTAGGCTTGTTTCCCTTTAGAGCCATGCGTAGGCAAGCAATTGGCCACCGAAGATATAGGCCTGCGTCTTACCATACCATGTGAAAGATTCCCGACCACTCACCGCGAGTGTCGAGAATCGCGACTGCATCTAGGATATAAGGGGAGTAAGTTTCACCCTAGGTGTAGGATTCCTAAAAGGGAAATCCCGATACAGGTCTAGATTTCGGTACCAGGCCGGATATGGTGCAGACGGGGCGAGAGTGGTATAATAAGGTTCCTACCCGAGGAACTAACGGGCGAGACAATTCACCCCTTCCGCCAGCGGCCGTAGAGCCAATGGTGATGCTTACAAACTGCTCATGGCTCCAGACTAGCAGAGAAATGTACTTGCCGGTAGAGCGCCTTAGGCTAGGGGTTTTAAACTAGGACATCGCATAAATCATTACACGTCAAGTCTCTGGCTCGGAATTTAGCCCGATTTGCATGACCCACGAGGTTAGGGTACTCGGCTGGTGATTCCTTTAGTTCGTGGCGCAGCTCAAAACATTTAGGCTTTTCTTTTGTGCGGCCAGTTACGGAAGACTATAGTCCACGGCGATGCGCGTATAAGGGAGATCGCCTCAGTAAGTCACATCCTGCCGATTCTTCTTGCACGTGGTCAGATTCAGTGCATGTAGCAGGGAGTCGATCCGATTGCTTCTGGCGGCGAAAAGTTAAGAGTGCTAAGATCGATGTTTCCCTCCCGAGATCCGCACGAAGGACTAAATGTTACGATTCAGTATCGTGCCGTGTTAAGGTTTGAAGGATGTTTGCATAAAGGTGCGGATGCTCATCTCTAACAAGATGAAACGCGTTGAATCGACCGAGAATCTCACCTATCCTTTACGAGCCATAGCTAGGACCTAGGGTCTTGTTGGAGGCTTGAAAGCAGAATCCGCGCATCCCTATATTTCACCTGGTGGATATCCTCGGGCCTAGCCGCTTCTAAGACCGTCTAGCCGCAGGGCACTCTTGTAAGCTTTTGTTACCCCGCGCACGCACGTTCCTAAAAGGGAAAGTGGCCGTGCAGATGTACGCATGCGGAAATGGAGCCTTCTCATTAGATACTGTCGTCACCCTTAAGGTTTCTTTTTGAAGGCAACTTTAGTCTTGAGTATTTACCGGGGATTGCATGTGTACATCCAGATTAGGACTATAGCAGCGAAACTGGAAGAGACATGGCCATTCACCCTCTCCATCATTTCGACGCTGGAGATTGCCACGACTCGAAGTTACCTTGGTTAGTAAAACGTTAAGCCCATCGCTCTTCATTGCAGTGCACGTGTCCGGTAGAGTGTCGATACGAGGCGGGGTGGTGGCGGGGCCCTTCATTTCCTGCATCCCAATAAGGCAATCCTACCTGATTAAGGTTTCCATACGCAATGCTAAGTCTCGGGTGCATGCGCACGCAGATTCCTGTGTTGATATAGACTGCCAGGGTGTACACCTATGTACTCGTGTAGGCTACCGTCATCCCTTCAAAAAATCTATTTATGGGTCAGTCAAAAGCACCGAACCACCAAGAGATCAGCACCACTTTCTTGGCGCAAACTAGAGTTTCCACATAAAGTTGGTACTATATTGGTGATAGTTGGTAGGTCATGGTTAAGAGAAAAGAGAGAAATAAAACGTATATAAGGAGAGTGACCCCCCCCGTCCCAAACTTTTTTTTTTATTGTTCCTCATTATCTAAATTTCCATTTTTCGACTTTTCGATAACCTTTCCATTCGCTTATAATGAAGTTCTCCACCGTCTCCGCCGCCGCCTTGTTGGCCCTTGCTTCTTCCGTCTCTGCTGACGATGTTAACGTTTGTTACATTACCGCTTTGATCGGTGACATCAAGGCTAACTTGAACAAC